CTTCTCGGCTTGATTCAGACGAGCGTCTCCTCCAGCCCCACTGGCTGTTCTCTGACACACGCTCTGGTTTGCAAACTTGGGGCCACACTAACACCCCCAGAACATAAACCATCAAGGGCCTTACAAGTTATTTCTGACATGGATTGCTGTGTTGAGTTAATATCACAACAAAATTGCGTTAACATAGAGCAAAATATTTAAAAAATATACCCGATGTTGCCCTGGCTGGTTTTGCTCAGTGGTTAGAGCGTCAGCCCGAGGACCAAAGGGTTGTGGGTTTGATTCCCGGCCAAAGGCATGTGCCTGGGTTGCAGGTTCGGTCCCCAGCCCTGGCTGGGGTCGTACATGAGGCAGCCAATCGAAATGTCTCTCACATCATCTCTCCCTCCTTCCCTCCTCTCCATTTCCTCTCTCTCTGAAATAATCAATGGAAAGATGTCCTTGGATGAGGATTAACAACAACTAACTATATATATTTATATATATATATATTTCATAAAATATATATATTCCAGATATTATCTATCAGCCATTTTCTAAAAATGTCTAAGCAGGTAAAGCCATCACTGTCATTAAAAGCTCCTTAGGAGAGCCCTGGCTGGTTTTGCTCAGTGGGTAGAGCGTCGGTCCACGGACCAATGAGTTGCAGGTTCAATTTCTCGGTTGTGCTTCATCCCTGGTCGGGTCGTGCGGGAGGCAACCAGTTGATGTGGCTCTGTCATATCAATGTTTCTCTCTGTCTCTCTCTGTCTCTTTCCCCCTCCCACTCTATCTGATGATAAATAGAAAAGTATCCTCGGGTGAGGAATAAAAAAAAAAGCTCCTTTAGGATAGGATAAGAGAACTCTTCACCTGTATCGCATTAGCTACTGGCTTTTACAGGCTAAAGTCTTGGGTTCATTTAATCAGGATATAAAAAACAGAAACATCTTTGCAAGGTAATGCTTTCCAAATAGTTTCTGTATGTAAAATGCTTACTAAATTATTCAGTTAAACAATACTAACTAGTCTTTAATAGACTGACTAGTGTAGGGCCAGAGATCTTGCTGACACAGCAGAGGCCAGAGCTGGCCTGGGGTCGGGCAGCGGAGAGCGAGCCTCCCAGACCAGCACTTCAGTGAGTCACACGGCTTAGGTGAGGTGCCAGGTGCCGTAGTCTCACAGATGTTAGTTTAAAACGGTACAGCCATCTTAGGTCTCAGTGAAGGTAAGAGGATCTAACTGTAGGAAGGGCACAAATAATCTGTGCTAAGAATTGTTTCTTAGGGCGTGCATAGCAACGCTAAACATAATATACATTATTTAGGACACCTGCATAATGCAACAAAATGTGAAACACTAAACATTTAATCCAAACACATTATTTCAGGATTTGCTAGATCACCACTTATTAACCCGTCTCTCTCGACATAGAATTTTATTTGTCATAAATAGTACTTCTGAGCTAGAATAAACCTTATAAACCAATTTCTTTCCTGATATCAACCAATTTCTTCCCTTTTAACAATGAAGCCCTTAAAGACTCGCAGTGATGGTTGAGGGCTGGGCCTTAGCTCGTTAAATTTCACATCTGCCCTCTCACACCTCTGACCTAAAGGAGTTGGCAAAACAGCATAGTGCCTCTGTTTTCTGTCAAATCAATCAGAACATTTCCTGGAACAATATACTTCACAGCCGAGAGTCCTAATCTCCAGCAAAATTCACAATTTTAGATGCGCTTTGAAGAAAGCAGTAAGAGTGCTGACTCACGCTGGCCTGTGGGCACAGGGCTCTGGTGGAAACAGCACCTGGAACCGCTCCGCCCCCTCCGGGCCCAGGGCCTGCCTAGGCATGCAGCTCACAGCAGGAACAGGGAAGGCAGCACCTTCCATCAGTCATTTTCTTCTCCTTACTAATGAAGTGATTGAATTTATGACAAAAAACAATGAAAAAAGAAAAAACAAATAAAGAAAACTTTCTATTTTTTTCCTGGAACCCAGTGGCTGACGTAACTGAAGGTTCCTGAACACGGAAATGCTCCAGTGCAGGCAACTCTGATTTCTAAATGTGCAAGGTCACCACGAACCCCACTGTCACCAGCAAAACCTGTCAACAACCTGAGTGTATTTCTTAAAATGGAAAAGCAGCTTGCGGTACATGAGCTTTAGAAAATAAAACATCTGTAAAGCATGTTTCTAGCTTTAATTTTTTGCTTTGATAAATCAATTGCTTCACAAAAATCCCTTTTGAAGACAACAATCCAAGAAAACATTGTTACAGTATCCACGTCTTAAAGATTGTCAGTTCATAGACCAAACATAAAACAAAGGAAGATTGCTGAGTCATTTCTGTCACTAATTGCCAAAAATGGGCCTGTCACACCTTCCTGGTCTGAGTTTGTCTGAAAGAAAAATGTGCTCCAGCACTTTTCACACAGGTCAGAGTCGAGTCACCGGTGGGTGACAAAGAACCGACTGCTGAAGCCCTAGGTGTGAGGTTTGAGCAACATCGCTCTGTGGCCGTGAACCAGCTGGTGCCACCGCCCAACTGCCGTTGCAATTGGGATAAATGCTTCGACTTACTTCACCATCTGGAACCGAAGACTGAAAGCCGGGCTAGTGCCTCAGTCAGTCCAGCTCTCTGCTCAACGGCTGAGCAGCAGGGACAACATGCTCACCTGGGGTCCCAAAACACATTCAAAAGCATCCTTCATAAGGAAAGACTTGAGCAAGAACAAAGGACCTGTTTGTTCACTATGAAAGCTCAACAGGAGAGGTACTTTCACAGATTCTCTCCAAGGTCTGGAAAGCAGTGGTGATAAGGCGGAAACTGACAACCAGTACACTGGGCAGCAGTTTTATGAACCAAAACAGCCATGGCAGGTGGTTATTAGGGGAAGAGGTTAAAGACACCTCAGGCTGCCTGTCCACAGCGCACACTCTCTAAATGACCTTTCGCCTAGTCCCCTAAGGCAGTGACTAAGAATTCAGGGCTTAAGAACTGTGGCTTCGGCTGCAGAGGAAACACCACCTGTCCCTGGACATGGGCGCTCGAGTCCAGGCAGGCATGAACCTCGACATGGATGCACCCCACCTGACACGGGGTGTCTGGCCTTCGGCTAACTAACTGCTGTGCCAGTGACCATGTGTTCTGGTTCAGGGAGAAACAATGACTTGTAAGGAGCCCACATTCTCCGAATGTTTTCACTAAGCCAAAGGCAGGGTGGCCCAGAGGGACAGGGAGGGTGGGAGGAAGGAGGAGAGGGCTGGCTTCCACAGATTCTCATTTTGAGAAGTGCAAAGTTAGAATTTAAGTAAAGCTAATGATCTTTTAAAGTTATGTAGACTTAAAATATTAAAAACTGTTTATAAATAAGAAATGCAATAGTTGCTTTAAAATGGTATTCTCTCCCCAAAAGATTGATATTCAAGTTTTTCTTTTTAAAGCTCCTGAAATATTTTAAAAGAAATTTCTATTATTTATTTCTGCCTTCTCGGTTATCTAGAAAGTACTTTCCTTTGATTAACTTTGATTAATACTTTTTTAAGGAAAAGTCAGTTCCAGGAAAAAATCTGCACTAGCTCTGAATACCAGTCAAAGTGACCATGGTCCATAACCAGCTACTGTTGTTGAATCTCAAGAACGAACGCCCTTCCCACCTCCTTCAGAAACCCGCTGAACTCTGTGCATCTCAGTCAGGGTCACATGACAAAACCTAGGCTACAATTTTGGTTCTTCTTGTCACCAGGAAACGGAAGTCCTAACATATTTCAAATCTGTGGAGGTCCCCGAGTCACACGTACGAGGAGGAAATCGGCCCCAGGACCAATGTAACGTGTGTGGCCAACCGCAGGAGCGCGCATCACTCGTCAGCGCGGCCGTTCTCTTCCGTCACTTCGTGGTGGTTGGTAATCATGGAACAACGCTGAACGCTTGTGACTTACCCTAGCTCTGAGCCAGTGGGATAGAGGACATTTTATATTAGTTTATAATAAACATTCTATGCATAACATATGGCTGACTAAAAAATTCTAAAACAATACACAGCTAACATGGTATAGTCACCACTTAACTGTAGTCAAATTTAAATTAGACTGAAATATGTATTGTAAGAGCTTTAACTAATTACTGGCTACCATTTTATTGAACTAAGTCCTACTTAGTAAATACTTTTAGATATATGTTTAGATTAAGTGGAAAATGAAATCTGAGCATTTACATATAAACTAAAATTTGAAGATATCAAAATTTCATTAAATAGTTGTTTCTTCTATAGTAGTAAATGTAAATTACTACCCTAGCTATCTTGGGGCAGGTTCATTAAATTTGGTCAATTCATAACACTCCAAATTGAAATAGTAAGCATGTATGGTTTCTTCTCTAGAAATTTTATCCTCAATATAGTCATAATCCAATTCATAACGAATTTATAAAAATAGCTTTTTATCCAATAATTCCATCAAGGTAAAAATAGGAGTTTCTTTTTATATATAGCAAACGAAACAGGCTCATTGACTATGAGAGAACGTAAAGGTACTGAAGTTGTCGCACATTCACCATGGAGTCACACCAGCCTACTGTCCTGTCTTGTCCACCTAGCACTGGTGGTTTTAAGGTGCAGAAGCTTCTTTCAGACCTGTAGGCTACACCAATGTCAGCCCACAGAGACCTGCTTTAACCACAGAACGCAATTAAAACTGCATACGTTTTTAAAAATGTTCCTTAATCTAATTAGGGGCTCGCAGGGGCCTTTGTCATTCATCATATTTTTAGCGTTAAACCTTTAAAGAATCTCCTTGAAGATCGCACACACGCACGTGCGCACACACTTGAAAGAAGTCGCTGCACCGGCACAGATGCTCTCGAAGCTCGCTATGAAATACAAAAGTGCACTCTTCTATATCTACATATAAAACAGATCAGAAATAAAACTGTGTAAAATGTTTGCTGTGCAAACTATAAAAAAGCCAAGCCCCCTGCCCTGGGTCCTGGCACCGCCCTGGGTCCTGGTGCTGCCCTGGGTCCTGGCCACGGCCCTACTGCAGAGAGTCACTGTTCTCCAGAACCAGCCCGCTGATGTGGGCAGGGGTGAGTGCAGCCCTGCCAGCCCCTGGGCTGTCCACGGACTCGTCCTCACTCTGCTCCGCCATCATGACCTGCTGCACGGCCAGGGTGGCACCGTCCGAGGACAGAGACTGGAGGCTGTCCACGTTCATGCTCACGGGCGTGGTGATCGTCACAACAGCTCCTGTGGCAGATTGGCAGAACATGGTGGTCACTATTCAAATTAGCGCTCAATAGAGGAAAACACTCACCCAGCTAGTGCTGTTTGCTCTCGTTAAGACCCTTGTGTGTTTCTGGGATGCTCAACAGGGATTTAGGAAACTGTCTCTAGAATTGGCTTCAAGCCTTGCTGAAGCTCTCAGGGGTCACAGCAGAAACAGTGATACAAGGAGAAATAAAGAGAACAGAGAAGGCAGGAGAAAGGCCCACTGGACATAACTGGGAAACAAAGAAAAGGGAAACAAGGTCAGAGTGAGGAGACCATTTTGGAAGAGGTGTGCTAATCCCTGCCTGTCTTGGAAACCACAGCGGATTTCGCGTGCTCACCTATAAAGGTCTCCAGTGTGTTGATAAGTGGTGAAAGCAAGAGGAGACATCAGTGTATATGTAAAATTTGGGGAAAGAGGCTCATTCGTTCTTGTTTGTGCACAGAACACCACAGTACGTATGCACTGGGAGCACGGACAGGAAACTGGGAACAAGGGTTGTCTCTGGAGCACACTAGATGCCAGGATGAAGGGGAGATTTCTTTTCACTGGATATTCTTGTTTGAACTTCTCCCCCAATAGACAGGCACTGCCTTTTCTTTTGAAGGAGGAGAGGGAGAGAGAAATAATACTTTTCTAACTAATTACTGAATTAAAAGAGAAAATAAAATCTGAAAATATAAATATGAATATGAATGTAGTATCACTACATATCAAAACCAGCATGGCCCAGCCAGTGTGGCTCAGTGGACTGAACATCATCCCATGGACTGAGCGGTCCCAGTTTGATTCCGTCAGGGCACATGCCCGGGTTTCGGGCTCAATCCCCAGTAGGGGGCGTGCAGGAGACAGTCAATCGATGTTTCTCTCTTGAAACATCGATGTTTCTCTCACTTTCTCTCTCTAAAAATCAATAAAAACATACATTTTTTTAAAAGCCCACATGATGATACCAAAGGTTTAAAAGAGTACACTACAACTCAAGAGATGTTCAATGGAAACTAAGCCAGATTCACAGCTCAGTGAGAGGGACCGTCCCAAGCCCAGGCCAGCATGCTGTGGGATGAACGGCTGAGCGTTGGGCTGAGCACAATCTGGCGTATGTGTGCAGGGAAATGGCCTGGAGCTGGGGAAGGACCATCCGATAAGACTGCAGAGCAGGAAGAAGGGCTGCCCCAAGCCCAGGCCAGCACGCTGTGGGATGAATGGCTGAGCATTGGGCAGAGCACGATCTGGCGTATGTGTGCAGGGAAATGGCCTGGGGCTGGGGAAGGACCATCTGTTAAGATTGCAGAGCAGGAAGAGGGGCTGCCCCAAGCCCAGGCCAGCACGCTGTGGGATGAACAGCTGAGCGTTGGGCTGAGCACGGCCTGGAGGATGTGTGCAGGGAAATGGCCTGGGGCTGGGGAAGGACCATCCGTTAAGATTGCAGAGCAGTGTCCAGAACTCAGGAGCCAGAGTAGACACACCCAATACAGGGAGGACTGAGTGGAACCCTCCCAGGTTTTCCATAGATTGTGGGGGGTGATCAGCCCGGGACTGAGCACTGCTGGGAACAAGAACCAATCACAAAAGCAGACCCAGAACAGACAGAGGGTGGAATTAGCAGAGAAGGGCATCAAGCAGTGATTGCAACTGTACTCTGTGGGTTTAAAACGTAATCAGATGCATGAGCAACAGAAAGACTCATATGGAACTTCTAGAGATGAAAAGTACAATGTCTAACACAAAAAGCACAATGGACAGGATTAGAGAAAAATTAAACATGGCAGAAAAAAGAGACTAGTAAAGCTAACCGGCAGGAGCAAAAACGATCCACAATGAGACAGAGAAAAGAATCCAGAACCTAAAAGTCTGCAACTGTGTAACTTTTAACCACCTAACAAATGAGCAACATGAGTGAGTCCCTGAAGGGCGGGGGGAGAAAAATATATTTGAAGAAATCATGGCCCAAATTTTCCTAACTTAGTAACAGTTATGCTGCTGAGTGAAAAAAATTAAGAAGGAGAATGAAAAAGTAAGAATGACATGATAACACCATCGATACACATTTAAAAATATACACATGCAAAACCAAAAGATGTGTATTTAACACATGGGAGAGGTTGTGATGGGTCACAAGGGATAAGCAAAAGCAAGACGAGGGCTGAGGGGACTAAAAGGGTAAAGAGGGCGAAGTGCCAGGCGGTGAGAAGGTGAATGCGAGGGAAAAGAAAGACAGAAGGACACAGGACACAGACATGGGGGACGCAGGATCGTGGTGTGGGTCGTGATGTCTCATGTGTGGTGAGTGTCCTCCCAGTCTCTTAACACACAGGCCCCGGACGGCACTTCCTCACATTTCAGATGCACAGACAACTGCACAAACCTTGGTCATGTTCCCCTAACTCCAAGGAAGTGACGGTGCTTACGGTTTGCCACCCGCCCTGCGGAGTCACTAACATGTGCCCTGGGCCCCCGTACCTTCTGACATGGCAAGCTCATTAGGCGGTGGCTGTGTGGCTCCCGACGCAATGGAGTCAGGCCAAAACCTCTGCACTGGTCTGTTCTGAGCAGTTTTCTTCTTTGTTTTTGGAGTTTCTGAACAACTAGAATCCAACATCGGCTGAAGAATTCGTCTTCTTGCATTGATGAACCTGAGCATCGAGGTGGACAAAGGAAGAACTTTCATCAAAATGACCTTTTAAAGATCCCCTGCAGGAGCAACAAAGTCCTTCCAGTAAACAAGCTGGTTTATAAATCACACAAAACCGATCAGAATAACTCATATTCCCTATCACAACAGGTATTTAGAGTAGGGCAAACATATTATCTAAGTGTCCAGAAAAACAGGGCCTGCTGCTTTTAAAATAATTCATTTGAATAAAGACCAAATCCTCCATGTTAACCTTTTTTTCCCACTTTGATTTAGTGCATGTTTGTGAATTTGATATTCATGACACTGATGATACTGTCAAAGCTGTGAATGTGACCTCACGTTCTCTAAGGCAGAGACAGGTTAAAGCTGCAAAACTGGGTCCCCTGCAGCCTGCTCGTGTGTCTCCATCTGCTCGTCCTGCATGGCCGTGCACTGAATGTAGAAAAGGCCCGAGCCTTCAAGGGCTAACTCCAGCCTTGACCACAGAGCATGGGTGTGAGGCTGGATTTCAGCTTTTCAAAAGGCTATTCCATGAGATGAGCTGTTTCTTAGATGGTGAAGTCGTAAGTCACTAAAACTGTCCTAGACACACACTAACACCATGATAAAATTGCAAATGGACTTCAGCTGCTCTTGGAGATTAAGTGCCCACTTGGTGACTTGGCGCCACATAAAAATAGAGCAGCAGAAACACGGTCAGCAAGTTAGGCAGGGCATGGTTTCTCATAAACAAATAGTAGTAATTTTTAAATACAAAGAGAGAAAAACTGTTTCTTCCATCTCCACCCCTCCCAGAACCCAAGCCAGTGTCTCCAAATGTGGGGAAACAGGGAGGGTGAGGCCAGGAGGCGGCCTGGTTGGTCTTCCTCCCTCAGTCTCTGGAGGCCCAGAAGAGGCGCCATGTGTACACCTCCTGTGCGTCTGTCTACACCACCAGCCAAGTGAAAGCAATGATGGCCGTCCCTCACCAGCAGCTGCTAAGACTCACACAGCACCCTGACCCAGCATAGATACAGCCACACCAACCCAGCCCAGGGAGCTGTTCTGTCACTTTTTGGTAGTATGAGTGATAAGGTAACTGACCTCTTGCTAGAGTCACCTGTGCTAATCTACTAAAAGCTGACCTCAAGGGATAGCAGTAACCACATCCAGGGTGTAACAGAAATGAAAGCCTCACTTTAGATCCAGATTCTGCTCCAGTTGTCTGTGTGGCAGCTTCTCTTTTAATGCCTCACACACAAAACGACAGAACTAAAACTGGACCAGCTCTAAGGTTGCTTAACTTTATTTTTTTATTTCTCACCCGAGGATATTTTTCCATTTATTATCAGACAGACTGGGAGGGAGGGAAATGAGAGACAGAGAGAAACGTCCATGTGACAGAGCCACATTAATTGGTTGCCTCCCGCATGACTCGACCAGGGCCGGGGACGAAATGCAACCAAGGTACGAGGTATGTGCCCTTGACCGGAATCAAACCCACAACTCATTGGTCTGCGGGCCGACGCTCTAATCGCTGAGCCAAACCGGCCAGGCGGTTGGTTGCTTAACTGTAAAACCCTAAGATTCAAGAACATGTAAAATTGCATTTGGACACATTCTAACGATATAAATGAGAGACTGACACCGCAGAGCTTCACTCAGTGTTGGTCTTTAGTCCTTGTACCACAAGCATGACCTGGACTAGACCTCACGACAGCCCCGCAGTCTCCCGATGCCGATGGCACCTTGGAGGGAAGCCCACTGCTACTTTCTAGTATCCGATTCTTTATTCTTTTTTTTTAAAATCCTCACCCCAGGATATTTTTCTGTTTATCTTCAGATAGAGTGGGAGGGAGAGAGAAAGAGAGAGAAACATCAATGTGAGAGGGACACATCGACTGGTTGCCTCCCGCATGACCCCAACCAGGGATGAACTGCAACCGAGGTATGCGCCCTTGGCTGGAACTGAACCCACAACTCATTGGTCCCCGGACCAATGCACTACTGCTGAGCCAAACTGGCCAAGGCAGTTTCTTTATTCTTATTCAAAGCAGCTCCGAGGCAGAGGTATAGGGTAAGCTAACCATGGGTATGTTTAATTTCACTGAATGATGCAATTTTTGTGAATGTTAAAAAAAAGAAAAAGTTACCAAGAGTAAAAGTAGTTACAAGTATTAATTAAAAGACTTTAGAATTTACAAGTCATGTTATTAAACTGTTAGCATTTTTTAAAATTAAAAGTTGATGTTAAACCTTCTAGATAAGACAATTCAGTGAACACCAGAGTAGCAAGTGAGAGAACACGAAGTTAAGAACAGTAAGGGGAAGACTGAACAGTGGCGACAGAGCATCAGAACATCCAAAGAAGGAACTCTGCCTAACATTTACCCCAGTCATCAAAATAGGAAGTTTCAACGTAAGACTGCATGAAAACAACCAAGCACGTGCAAGACATTACAAATACCACAGCAACAATGTACTTGAAAACTTCAGATTTTTGTTAGCACTCTATTAAAAAGATTTAACAAGAAATAATTCGAATAGTATGATCTATTATTGCTACCCAAACAAAATACAATGGCTCAAATGCAGGACCATAGAAATATTTAATGCAATGCCAAAACATACCTCCTGCATATGTAATTGCATAAATTGGAAGATTTTATCATTTATATTGAAACTTAACTTTCAAGTTTAAGTTTTAACAATTAAAATAAGAATATAACCATGTCTACAAGTGGTCAAATCTGTGCTTTCTTTTCTTTTATGCATGCCACTTCTATTAAACTGATATCGCTTCCTATGTCTAAACAATAAGTAAACAAACATGAGACGAGTGACTGACAAACAAAATCCAAGTGCACCCTTGACCTTAGTGCCACTTAGTGATGTGAACAGTTCTACTGAAGGGAAAACATGTGGTCAGGGTCCAGGTGTCCCTAGTCACATGTGACACAAGAATCAGAGCAGGATGTCATCCTGGGTGTCTCCCTCTTAGCACCCCCAGGTCCTGCTGTGGGGCAGGTCCACCACATGGACAGTGAAGGGACTGCCTCCCCCAATTACAGCTGACAAAGGGACACAGGTTTCGAAAGGTGGGGATGCTGCAGAAGGGCCACCAGAGGTCAGGACAACTCATCTTGGCTGTCCACCACCTGGAAGCTCACCACAAAAACATCCCGTTTCTGAATGAATGAGGAGTTTAGGGGTGGTAATGCAACAGAGAAACACATTCTAATCAGGAAAGTAGGCAAAAAGCCCACAGTGAGGTGTTGATCATGAAAAATGTAAGTTGAGTGTGTGCTGACCCCTGAGCAGGTGGCTCAGTTGGTTAGAGCGCCGTCCCAATATGCCAAGGTTGGAGGTTCAATCCCCAGTCAGGGCACATACAAGAAGCAACCAACAAATGCATAAACGAGTGGAACAACAAATCTCTCTCTCTCTCTCTCTCTAATCAACATATAAATTAAAAACAAAACCAAACAAAAAAAAAAAGTGTGTACTGATTTATTCTTAAGTATCTGCCAACAATTCCAGCACTCTGAAAACGGAGTAAAGCTAGTTCAAAGAACTCATATTTTCTTTTTTTTTTTTTTTTTTTTTTTTTTTTTATCCTCACCCGAGGACATTTTTCCATTTTTTGTTCAGGTAGAGTGGGAGGGAGAGAGAGGAACAGAGAGAGAGAGAGAAACATCGATGTGAAGGGACACATCGAGTGGCTGCCACCCGCACGACCGACCAGGGCCGGGGACAAACTGCAACCGAGGTACGTGCCCTTAGCGGGAACCGAACCCGGGTCTCTCGGGACCGCAGGCTAACGCTCTAACCGCTGAGCCAAACCGGCCAGGGCAGAACTCATATTTTCAACCAAATTTTACTAGTTATTAGTGTCAGTGTTTTCAGTGTTCTATGATGCTGACAGGCACAATTCTGGAAAGTGGGCATGTCTTACCAGTTGTTAACTTGGAGTAGTGTCAAATTTGTCTGAGCAGCAATCTGTTTTTTCTCATCTTCTGTTGGGTAGGGATGCTAAAAATAAAAAGAAGGGTTCCTCATGAATTTCAGTTTTTAAAAAGGAACTCAGGGTTTTCTAGGTAAAATAGAGGCACACAAATAATCACCTGTAAACAACCAACAAGTACCAATCAATACTGCTTTCAGTTAAAACCCCACCGTAGTCTCACGGCTTTTGTAAGAAATGCCCCGAAGAAAATGTGTATTTCTCCTGGTTGCCCAGGACATGCCCAGTATGGTAGCAGCTGGTTGAGGCCCAAGCAGTGGTGGTTGGACTGTCAGCCTGAGGCTCAGAAATGACAATGGTAACTCCACCAAGCACTACCACCTTGGGCACTGTTTTAAGCACTTGATACATCTATAGTTTTTGTATCAACTTGACTGAGGTATGACTTAGGAACCATAAACTGCACTCATTTAAAGTGGATAAATGGCGGGGGTTGGACTCATAAACCTCTGGCACAGCAGGTCTCTCTCTGTGCACATCCTAAGTATACGTCACTGGTTCCTTACCTCACCTCTGAGACAGACACTGTCTCACCTTAATTCTACAGATGAGGAAGCCGAGGCACGGAGAGTTTACAAACTCCTCCCACCCTACAGCTGGCTGCATAAGGCAGCAGAACAGGGGTCCGGTAGGCTGCTCCATGCTGTCACTTCAGATGACAGGCCTCTACGTGGGGACCTTGAGGAGAAACCAACACTGAATGCACTGTCATCCTCTAAGGCTTTTCGGGAACAATCTCTGCTAGGTTCACATGTGCTGTTGATAAAGAACCCTAAGGGATAGGGACATTTGTCATATTTATCTTTCTTTTATGTAGGATTAAAACATTTCGCTTAAAACATAGAATTAAAGCAGAAGTAAATCTCAAAATTTACAGAAGTACCAAAAGAGAAGTAATTTCTTTTTTTTAATTTGTGGAAATATATACATTTTTTTAATCCTCACCTGACGACATTTTAGCATTTATCTTCAGATAGAGTGAGAGGGAGAGAGAGAGGGAGGGAGAGAGAGAGAGAGAGAAACGTCAATGTGAGAGAGACACATCAACTGGTTGCCACCCGCACGACCCCAACTGGGCCGGGGACAAACTGCAAACGAGGTATGTGCCCTTAATAGGAACCGAACCAGGGACTCTCTGGTCTGCAGGCCTACGCTATAACCACTGAGCAAAATCGGACAGGGCAGGAAAAGTAATTTCTGTCTATGGTAACAAACAAGTTCTCCAGGACTGATTACTGTCTACGTGTAGAAACCAAGAAGACATTTACTCTAAATCCTACATGCACCGAAGTCTCTTATTTTGGACCAACTGCGACCCCAGAGTGAATGGACCAACAGCAGGGAGGTGGGGTTATTTAGTTTTATTTTAAGTGAACGCTCGATATGCTGGAAAAGCCGCTGTGTATGTGGTGATAATGGAACAGCATCAGAATGATCTCAGCAGCGGACTTCTGTTCCCTCTGCCTGACTGGCAGTACCTCAATTTGATTCTAAGGATGAGCGAACGGCCCTGAGTTAGAGGTTATGGAAACATAAATGTTGCCTTTGCCCTTTAAAAAGCTCATAAGAAAAGAGGGGACAGGAAACAAAAGTACACAAACCAGGAATCACACAGCAGCAGCAAATGCTGTCCTGAAGTGCCAGGAAAACTACAGGAGAGGACAGTATTTCAAAAAAGCTAGGGCAGGGAGGAAAAAAGTGACATTTTTATTGAACCTATGAGCAGGGTTACTGTTTTAGAAATTATTAAAAGAAACTTAACAGGAAAACCAATCCCACCACTTATTTGTGTATATTCAAATCATAGTTATATTTATTGATTATAATAATCACAATATATTTTATTTTTACTATTTTTTAAATATATATATTCTATTGATTTTTCAGATAGAGAGTAAGGGAGAGGGGGGAAAAGAGAGAGGAATATTGATGGGAGAGAAACATGGATGGAATGCCTCCTGCACACCCCATATTGGGGATCAAGCCTGCAGCCTGGGCACGTGCCCTGACTGGAAATCAAACTGGCTACCTCTCAGTGCATGGGTTGATGCTCAACCAACTGAGCCACACCAGCCAGGCAATCACAATATATTTTAAATGTCTGTTCTTTTTCACTTACTACTATCTACCTAAAGTTTCCTAGTGCTTACAGCCCCCATTAATCATACTAACTATCTGTATAATATTCCATCAAATTGATAGGTTCTAATTCACATACTAACTCTTTTCCCATTAGGATAATGAACATCATTATACCATTTTATCCATAAAATCTTTCATTTTCTTGTTAATCTTTTTAGGACAAATTTCTAGACATGGTCACACTATTACTTCTCCTGACACCTGTTGCCATGTCCTGCTGGTGGCAACGGCCTACAGAACAGACACCGGAGAAGAGGGAAGCTGGGGGCCCAGCACTCAGGGAGGGGCAGCCTTGCCTCCTTCAGGGTTCCCCCTCTCCTCCCAGGGCTGCTCAGTGACATCACAGCCCTAAAGCCCCTGCCCCTCAGCGAAGGCCCCAATGCCAGTTAGAGAAAAGGGGGCATGAAACAGTGATAAGGGCCAAACCAAGACAGACAAGATGACTGAGACCGGGTGCTTGTCTTGGGGCTCACAGCTGGGGCAAGGACGAGACAAATGCCAAGGGGCCAAGGTAAGCCTCAGGCCTGCCACAGGCAGAGACGGGCACGAAGAGACGTGGGCCTGACAGACACCTGCACCCACAGCAGTAGCACCAGGACACAGACGAAGAAGACAGGCTGGTGAGGAAGCAGCCAGCAGCTGAAGACATGAGCGGGGATGACGGCAGTGACACGAAGAGCTGACCCAGGGGCCAGCTCTCAGGGACAGCCTGGGGGCCAGCGCTGCTGAAGGAGCAGGTGACCACTGCCCTCTGAGAAAACTGGCCGCAGATGGAAGTACCTGGCCGGAAAGCTGGTCCATGAGGCTGCCGGGCAGCCTCCTGTCGCACCTCCTTTCCGTCTGTCCCTCCAGCATCCTCCGGCTCCCCTGCCTGAACTAGGCTCTGACTCGGCAGGGAGCCCCCACCTTCCCGCCTGTCCCACCTGCTCCTCGGACAGCGGGCCTCTCAGTCCTGGCCCTGGCTGCTAGGCTGGGCATCCCTCCTGAAAGCTGCTCTGGGGGACAGGCCTTGGCCAGGTCAGTGGTGAGAGGACGGAGTCTGTCCCATTAAACCACTGCCAAGCGTTTCTTCCTAAGAGGCGGCATCTTCACAGAGAAGACATGGCCATCACCCTGGTGAGGAAACCAGGCGCTCAGACAGAACATGGGGTGAGTGGGTGCTGCCTGCTGGCCCAGCCGTATCTAAGCTCAGCAAGCCTTCTGCCGGCCCTTCTGTCCGTATGCTCAACTCTCCAGCTCTATCTTAGGGTTTCTTAGTGCATCGTCCTTAAAAATCCAATACAGAAATCACTGCTATATTCCACGGTTTTGCCCAAATGCACCTTTTCTCTGCCCACTGCTCTGGCTAACCTCACTCCCCCGTCACCCTTCACGAGCAGACTCGAACACGCGCACACAAGACAAACAGGAGCTGAACTGCTCCCTTTTCACCAGTGGTCCCCTCAATTATTCTAAGCTCCCTGAGGTGATGTCCTCCATTTTTTGTAACCCTCCCTTCTGTCCCACCCTCAACCCACATGGACAGTTATGAAATATAGATACTGAAACCCAGGCCGACAGGCATATACAGACAATTTTTTTCTAGCAAACAAGCCAGGGAGCGGCCTTCGGGAGGGCTGCGCTGAGAGCTCACGACGCCTCACCCCTATGTGCTGGAAGAGCCAGGACCGCATCACACTGGTGGCATGCTTCGGCAGGACGCCCCGCTTGTTCTTGGAGGAGCCATCATCTTGATGCAAGATGCTCAAATCTTGGTTTAACTGTAACTGAAGCTTTTAAACAATTGAAAAATAATGTTAGAAAACACAGGAAATTTGATACCTCCAAGCATCTTACGACTTCTGATGGAGAAAATAACCAAGGATCCTAGGGATAAGGGGCTTATTTACAGCAGAGGCACATACACTGGAACTCTGTTCGGGCTGATTTAGGCTTTAGTTCCCCTGCCGTATAACTATTTACACTCGTGTCTCAGCTGTGCAGGGCCCCTCGCCTGTTGAGGCCGATGGGATGGATGGTGAGAAGGCCCCTGAGTCATTCCCCTGCAGACAGGTGAGAACCGTGTCTCTCATTCACCGCCTGTTCTCATTTTGCTTCTTCCAGGAATGAATGTGGTAACACCTGAGATTTCAAACAAGCACTGAGAATGCACAGGGAAGCTGAAAGGACCCCTAACGGGAGGAGGCCATGCCAGCCGAACAGAGGGGAAAGAAACAGCAACACACAGGGTGCACACAAAAGGATCACAAAGCAAAGGCTGAGGCGATGGCCTCTGCAGGGATCTCTGAAGCCACCGAAAACATAGCTTCCCTCATCCCCGAGAGAAGCACATACTTTGTTTGTCCGATTTCAATAGGAATGGACACGCACAACACTTCTTAGATGAGTGTCTCACACAAACCTGAGAAAAGACTTGATGTTACGAGGCCCTGCTCAGCCCCAGGACGTCTCCCAGGCACAGCCTCTCACTCCCAGGGTGCCTGCAGAGATGGTCACAGTGGTCACTGCAGGGACCAGGAGGAAAGCAAATGCCCTGGACCCCTGAACGACACAGGTTTGAACTGTGTGGGTCCACCTATAAGGCCTGCACGCAAGTGCACACACAGTGGTTCAAGTCAACCGCACCGCTTACTAGGGCCTCAGCATACACATATCAGGGGTATCTCCACTGACCTTGTGCTTCAATTTAGAACTTACATGTAAATCTAATTTGATAGGTAAATTAACATCAATGTCTTCAGGTAGATTTCAGTATAATGTACTCATAAACATCGTTTAAAAGATTTGGGAGTTCACTTCGGAGAGGTTTTCACTGTATTATTTGTATTTCCTCTGGTTTATAGCCTTTTTGATATATTTTTTAAAAGCCTGAACACCAACATCTAAGCAGACATAAAATTTATGACTTGAAGAAGACATTAAAACCATTAACTGTACCTAAAATTTCTTAAAATTCAAGATTATTACTAAGGGCGTAATTGTTTTTTTGAAATGTAGTTGTTTGTTAAAGGACTGAAAGCAACTGGTATTAAGCACCGCCTATATGCTAATGTCCATGTACAGGAAAGAGAATGGAAAATGAACTTTAAAACCTATTTCAAAGCACCAGGCCCAAATTTAGCTTGTTTGCCCCATCTGTCTCCATTTGATACATGACGTTCTTCATGAAATTTGACATGTGCTTCAGTGTTGCTTTTTTGTGAGGGTTAAAGCAAATGCAGGCTCATGAATAGTCGAGTGGTAAGGGATGGCCTGTGACTCCACCTTGAGGACGCCTCCAGGAGGAGTTGTGGGGGCTCATTCCTCTGCCCCTCTGGGATCCAGCAAAGCCTGGGACTGGACAAAACAGGGGATTCAAAAGCCTAGGAAAGTAGCTGAAAGTTAGTTTAAGAAGCAGCAAGACACACAACTCTCCCTCATCATTCTCTGCAGATGACCAATCTTCCCCCGCCCCTGCAGGAGACTTGAGGTTTCTTTCCCAAAGAAACAGACCAGAGGCACAGATGCATGGCTGGAGGGTGGGAGTGAGGGGCAGGGCCAGAAAGACAGGTGAGGAAAAGTCTGCACACAAACAGGAGACCCAGCCCACTCCTGTCCTTGACCTATGCTTCTGCCCAAGCAGTGATCAGAGAGCCCTTCTCCAGAGAAACTGAGGAAGAAATGACTGAGGACTGGCAGAATGTGAAGTCAGCCAGCCAAAAAGCCAGCCAACTGCAGTGCACAGCTTTCATGTTTACAGGTAAAAGGGCAGCCGAGTGTCCCCAAACACCCGAAAGCTCCATCATAAAGAGCAGACACCAAAGTGAATAAACTCTGAGGCAAAAAAACAACAACACCCCAAAACAAAACAGAAAAAGTGCAGGAACCAAAGAAAACTTCAACCACCATGAACCACAAATAGGATGCAGGGAGAGTCAGAGTGTTAGAAATTAAAACTACGTTGAAAATTTTAAACTTCATAGGGGAGTTGAAGGATAAAAAGAAATCTTTCAGAAAGTAGGCCAAAAGTTGACAATGGTGATACAAATACAAAAATGCAGACAAGAGGTGGTTCAAAAGGACCCTGCCCTCTTCTGACAGGCACGGGTCAGAGGGTGCCCCATGGTGCAGACTGTCTTCCTAGGGAGCTGGGCGATGCTGGGCTAAAATTCCCTCCTGTATACACGACCCGTTCCCACACTGGCAGGGACCGTCCTGGGGCGGGGCGGGATGGCACAGGCACTTCCAGGACTGCCACCACACTGCTGTGCGGCCCGGGGCCACTGGTGAGTAATGCCGACCACCAGAGTGACAACAGGAGACATGATAATACCACTTCCCTGGACAAAACCAACCCTGAGAGTTTCTAACACAACAACAGAGAAAGTTACCCATCCTAATTATCTGAAGCACAAGAACCCAAAAAAGAAGGAAAAAAAAATAGCCCAGAGCAGCCCAAACAGCTATGATAGAATCATACACATAACGTCCAGGTTTTATCCAAAGAACACCCCACTAAGGCCCTCAACAGGTCTATTCACTCTTCTGTTAGGAACCTGAGCATCCTGGGGCACCGGGGACAACTGCGGACCAGAGCAGGGGCAGCTCACAGGCAGAGCAAGGGAGTTTCACTCACCGAGGATCTGCCGGAGGGATCTGGGGAGTGATATCACACTAACATAACAAGGTATTCTACTGAAATAATCTAAACTTTGTATGTTTGCTATGTAATATAGTAATTTTTGTCTGTAAGAAAATTCAGTTAAATAGGAAATTTCCTTCTCAAACAGCAGGACGAATAAGCCTCTACTATATAAATAAGGCATCTGATTAAAAAGTTTTACTCTAAGAAATATATTTTTACTGACTTTTAGAGAGAGAGGAAGGGAGATAAACATGGATGAGAGCCGGTCAAGATGGAGGGAAGTAAACGCGGTACCGCGTCCTCCCACAACCACATCAAAGTTACAACTAAACTACAGAACAACCATCATTCAAAACCGCCTGAAATCAAGCTGAATGGAAGTCGTACAACTAACGAATTAAAGCAGCAGCCACATCCAGACTGGTAGGAGGGCGGAGGGGACGGGCTGGGCCCACACCCACGTGTGGTGGATAAAAATCAGGAGGCTCCCGTGGCTGGGAAGGTCCTCCCTGAGGACTGAGGGGTCCCCGTCCCACACCAGGCTCCCCGCTCAGGGTTCCAGTGCCAGGAAGAGAGTCCCCATAACTTCTGGCTGGAAAACCAGCGGGAACTGAGGCTCAGGGAGGCTGAGGCGGCTGGAGCCCCAGGCAGCTCCTTAAAGGGCCCGCGCACGGACTTACCGGACTCTCTCCCTCTGAGCTTGGACGGGAGGCAGCTCGAGGGGCGCCAGAGACACACAGGCAAGAACTGAGTTGTTTGGCACTGGAGCGAGGGCTGGAGAGGGGGCTTTCTCCGGGACAGACGTGCTGTCAGAGGCCTTTGTTCCTTTGGTGAGCCCTTCCCTGGGGCAGCAGATAGTCACCATATCTGGGACTCCAGCAACCTGGCTCACACTGGGAGCCCCGCCCTGCTGACTCCCTGAGGCCCCGCCCCACCCAACTTTCAGGCCCACCCAAGCTGTTGCCACTTGCTTAACCATAGGATTGGCCAGTCTCGGATCCTGCTTCAGGTTTTTCCTAAATTCTTTCAAATGAGCAGCATCTGGTCTCAGCGAGCCCCATACCTCTCATTAAGTAATACACTGAAACAAACACAGGGAGGCAGCCAAAATGAGGAGACAAAGAAACAGGTCCCAAATGAAAGAACAGAACGAAACCCCAAGAAAAGAACTAAGCGAAATGGAGATAAGCAACCTAACAGATACTGAGTTCAAAATATTGCTTATAAGGATGCTCAATGAACTTAGTGAGAACCTCAGTGAACTTAGGGAGGGCCTCAAGAGCATAAAAAAGTACCAGTCAGAAATCATGGATACACGGTTAGAATTGAAGGAGGCATTAACTGAAATAAAGAATAATTTACACAGCTTCAATAATAGAGTATGTAAATGCAAGAAGCAAACCATCGATTTGGAATATAAGGAAGCAAAAAATGCCCAATCAGAACAGCAAAAAGAAAAAAGAATCCAAAAAAATGAGGAGAGTGTAAGGAGCCTCTGGGACAACTTCAAGCGTGCCAACATTTGCATCTTGGGGGTGCCAGAAGGAGAAGAGAGAGAACAAGAAATCGAAAACCTGTTTGAAACAATAATGGCAGAAAACTTCCCTAACTTGGTGAAGGAAACAGACATACAAGTCCAGGAAGCACAGGGAGTCCCAAACAAGATGAACCCCAAGAGGCCCACACCAAGACACATCATCATCAAAATGCAAAAGGTTCAAGACAAAGAGAGAATCTTAAAAGCAGCAAGAGAAAGGCAGCTAGTTACCTACAAGGGAGTTCCCATTAGGCTGTCAGCTGATTTCTCAAAAGAAACTTTGCAGGCCAGAAGGGAGTGGCAAGAAATATTCAGAGTGATGAAAACCAAGAACCTACAACCAAAATTACTCTATCCTGCAAAGCTGTTATTTAGAATTGATGGACATATAAAAACTTTCCCAGACAAGAAAAAGTTAAAGGAGTTCATCACTACCAAACCGTTATTATATGAAATGATGAAGGGTCTTTTTGAAGAAAAAGATAAAATGTATGAACAAACAAAATGGCAATGAATACATATCTATCAACAATGGAATCTACAAACAAAATGAACAGGTAGAACAGAAACATTCTCATAGATACAGAGAACATTTTGTTGGTTGCCAGTTGGGAGGGGGGTTGGCGGAATTGGGTGAAAAAGGTAAAGGGATTAAGAAGCATAAATTCATTGCTAGACTGACGAACCTCAAAGGGAAAGGGGTTGGGGGGGTGGGAAGAAATAAACCAAAGAACTTATATGCATAACCAATGGACACAGACAATAGTGTGGGAAAAGGTGGGAGGGGGGCGGGAGTGGAGAGGAGGGGGTCAATGGGGGAAAAATGTGGAACATCTGTAATACATTTTACATCCAACAATAAAGATTTGGAAAAAAACAACAACATGGATGAGAGAGTGAAACATTGATTGGTTGCCTCCTGCAGGGCCCCGACATGAGGGATTGAGCCTGAAACCCAGGCATGTGCCCCCTGGGAATCAAACTGGCAACCTTTCAGTGCACAGGACTATGCCCCACCAACAGAGCCACACCGGCCAGGGCAAGAACAGCTCACTTCAGTACTAAGCAACACTGCAAACCAGGCCCTGCTTCATGTTTACAGCTATTGCAAGTGGGAAACTACAGGGAAAGCAGGGCGGTCTGGGACCCAGAGCCAGAGTGGGTGGGCCTAGCTCCTTCCCCACCCCCAAACACCATTTGCTGGCCCTGGGACGTCACCTGGTGTTCTGGGTCGTGTGCGCCCAGATGGCCCGAGGCCCTGACTAGCTCCAATGCGACTGTCCAACAAAACCTTCCATGAAGCCAAAGGCAGGAACCCCAGACTGGCTGTGCCGGCCCACGCCCACTCCAGGCCCCTCACATATGCCATCTGATTCAGGAACACACCCACATCCCCAAGGCTGGACCTCAAAATGGTTAGGAATGTAGAAAATATCTACACAGGCCGAAGACAAGGAACTAACATATAGAGGGAATCAATGCTCTTCAATAAGAATGGGTAACAGAAATGCTATCTTTTTTATTTAAACCCAACTAAATGTAAAAGTGTAGGAGTGAGTGAGAGTGAGTGTGTGTGTGTGTGTGTGTGTTCATCTTCAGAACTCACAGGAGTCTGGAGGACTACCAAGTTCAATCTCATTTTACCAGAGACACCGGGCAGGACCATCCCAAGGTCATGGCATGTCACTGCATTTCCAGCTGTCACTTCTGCCCTTGAAGCTGCCATGCTCTGGGAGCTGGTGGGCCACGAAGAGGAGCAGCAGACCAGCCTTCCTGAAGCAGCACCCCCAGTGGGCAGTGTGCAGAGGGGAAAAGGGATTCCTCTCTTAGATTTCTCACCAAGGAGTGTGGGGGCATTAAGTGCCTGACACCCTGAAGCCCTGCTCTGGGTCAGTAGCACCACAGAAAGGTCTCTGAAAAGCTTTTCTGAGCTCACAGGCCCAGAGCCCAGCCAACACTCTCACACTGGAGGTGTGGGCCAGCCAGGCATGGTCTCAAAAACCTGCCTGTAGTTCCACTGTGCCCTGGAGATGGGGAGGAGTGTTCCTACACGGCCTCAGCGCTCCTGGTGCAAGACAACTACACAACCCGATGTTAAATTGCACAAGAGTGATTGCTTGAGGAAAGGGATAATAGATGACATTTCTGCTTCTTTAGACTTTCCTGAATTTTGCAACTTTTTTACAATAAGATGAAAGAGCAAAAAAGAAACAAAATACTGACATTCAGATTAACTGGAGGCCAATACATGTGAGTGAGTATGAGGCAAGGACCTTCACTGGAGAGAACGGCTCCAGCTGCCCCCAATCTGCACTCCCAACCTGAGCAACATCCCACCTTCCCAAAGGAATGGCACACACACCTGGGAGTTCTGGATCCTGATCGTCCCAGGCGACAATGCCTGTGTCACTACTTGGCCTTGAGGAGTAACGACTGTAACAGGCTGATAAACTGTGCCACCTCAAAAAGGAAGAAGAAAAAAAAATTACATTTAAATGTCGATTCAAAACCAATCTTCTCACTCTACTATGAAAGGAATACAATCTCTAGTTTGATGAGCTTTTTACATAATTTCAAATGACTGATACTCTTTGCTAGCCAACTTTTGTCACTGTAAATTATAACAAACTCATTGCACAAGCAGTGCCCAAGTGACACTATGTTGATGGGCCTCCCTGTGGTCCTCACAGGTGGCACACACAGGGCACAATCAGGTCAGGGGGTCTGCACTTCCCTGTTTTTTGCTTCCCTCCATTTTCTACTTTCCCCCATAATTAGCACATATCAAAGGACATGGCCAAAGATGTCAGGTGACAAATATTTTTATTGTGGTTCTCTTTTTGATCAAATGTGCTTTATTTTCCTGTGGAGGTTTCCCTTTGTTCTATTACATGGGTTTCTTAGTGTAAACTTTTCCCCTTCCTTACATTTTCATGATGGTTTTGTATTTGCCATGTTCTAGATGCACCAGGGAACTCGAGAATCTGTCCCCTTCCTGTGATGGTTTTTATTATACAAGTTAGACCAAGACTAAGACTGCAATTTTATTTGCTTATCATCAATTAATGACAGAACTTAAGATTTTCCAGGTGCTGCTAAGAGAACAATTAAAAAATGTTATTTGAAAATTACAATTGGTTTTTGCTATATAGTTTCAACTCCTATATAAAACCTTTCTTTCCAACATTTTTTGGTAGGAAAACAATTTGCATAAGGTATTTGTCATTGAGAATTAACAAGAAACAGGCATTCAAAGAAGTCTAGATTTTGGAACTCCTAATATAAAAAAAAAATTATATTTACGCAAGTCTCCATTCTACTATGAAAGACTTTTTCTGCAAAAACTCAAGGAAAAGGTGTCCTTTTATCCATTGCCATACCTGCCACTGTTGCCATAGTTACATTCCCCTGTTGCAGCGCAGACGCGGGCACCACAATTCCCTGGGGGCTGAGAGTGCCTGTGAGGGCGCTCTGAATCTGCTGCAAGTCAGAAACACACAGGGAAGGGTTATTAGAAAACAGAGGACCCATGTTTAAAACTTCTAAACAAGTGGCATAATGACTCATTAATAAAGGAGATGCTTGAGGCAAAGAGCACAATGAAATGACAGTCCTTCCATGAAGCAGGCTTTGCATATCTAGGAAACTGGGAGAGACAAGTCTGAATGAATAGTAAATGTGATGATTAGTACTAAGATATTCATTTCAATTTGGCTCCAAAAGATTATCTTTCATCTCATCACATAGTAACCACACCTTACAGTCCTGGAGGTATGACTAGGGAGACAAAAATTACCTCATCTCATGACATATCTTTTCCATTTCAAATTGGCTCACACTCTTGATTTTCCAAGAACCAAAGCCTCCTTGAATGGATGAGTACTTTCAGATTATGCCACAGGCTTGGGAGGTTCTGAGTGTTAATGGGAAGTCACCCCTGGGCCCACATAGCTCCCCCTACCACCATGACCTCAGCATAGCACCTGAACCCCGTGCCTCCCTGTGTGCCCATGTATGTGGAGTACTGGGCCTAGGCCTGGCCCATAGCATACTCCATGCAAACATTTGTAAACACCATTGCAGAGACTCTAATCATCTGACATTAGATCCAAATAGGTGAATTTACTGACTGATGACTGGCTTGGTGGTTGGCAAGGAAAGGGATCCCTACACCTGGAATCTAGCATGGGGTCTGATATATGTAGGCACACAGATATTTGAGCAGTTAAGTAGCATAAATGGATATCATCCAGAGGCAATTGCTCTGTGGGCCACCACATCAATATGAATGTGTAAGCTTTGGTAGGTGCACACAAAGTAGGCTACATTAACTTAGAATAAAGCTAAGCATCAAATCAATAATCCAAGCTCCCACATCAAGACCTACAGAAAAAGCAACAAAATAAAACCAAAGCAAGCAAAAGGAAGGAAACAATAAACATCAAAGTAGATAACAATAAAACTAAAAACAGAAAAACAACAGAGAAAAAAGACTGGTTCTTTGAAAAGATCAACACATTGACAAACCTCTAGTAAGACTAACAGAAAAAAAGAGAAAAGACAAATTGCCGATATCAGAAATGAAACTGGAGATCACCTGAACTGGACACATAAATTTGACATATCAGACAAAGTCCAATATGAAGTAGAGAATTTGAATAATCCTATAATTACTAAGGAAACTAAATCTGTAATTTAAAAACCTCCAATAAAAAAAAGAAAAAGAAAAAGAAATCTCCAGGTAGTGTCACTAAAGAATTTTATCAAATATTTAGAGAAAAATTAATACCAATCCTAATCCCTTCCAAAAAACAGAAGAGTAGAGCATACACTACAATTTGTTTTCTGAAGCTTGTACTATTCTATTACCAAACCTAGACTGGGACCACACCAAAAAAGTTAACTTGACACAAAAATGCTTAACAAAATATTAGCAATCAGAATAGAATTCAGAATCCATACAAAAAGAATTACATGCCATGTTCAACCTGGCCAGTTAGGCTCAGTGGCTGAAATGTTGGCGTGCGGACCAAGGAGTCTCAGGTTCGATTCCGTTCAACAGCACATGCCCTGGTTGTGATTCATACCTGGCCCTGGTCAGGGTCATTCAGGAGGCAACCGATCGGTGTGCCTCTCTCACATTGATGTTTCTCCCTCTCTGTCTCCCCCTCCTACTCTATCTGAAGATAGATGGAAGAATATCCTCAGGTGAGGATTAAAAAAAAGAATTACATGCCATGACCAAGTACAATTTATTCGAGAAATGCACGGCTTGCTCAGTATTAACAGGCAAAAGAAGAAAAGTCACATAATCGTATCAATCCATGCATTTGACAAAATTCAATGTAATAAAAACTCTCAGAAAAACAGAAATAGAGGGGAACTTTCTCAATAAAGAGCATCCAGGAAAAAAAAAAAACATTAAAATTAAAATTAAGCCCTGGCCAGTTTGGCTCAGCGGTTAGAGCGTCTGCCTGCGGACCAGAGAGACCCAGGTTCAGTTTCCGCTACAAGTACGTATCTCAGTTGTGGTTTGTCCAGCCCTGGTTGGGGTTGTGCAGGAGGCAGCCACTTGATGTGTCCCTTTCACGTTGATTTTTCTCTCTCTCCCTCCCACTCTACCTGAACAAAAATGGAAAAATGTCTTTGGATAAAAAAAGAATTAAAATTAATAGTGAAAGGTTGAACACTTTCCCCATTAGATTGGGAACAAGCAAAGGATGCCTGCTCTCACCAATCCTATTCAAGATAGTACTAGATGTTCTAGCCAATGCAACAAGGCAAGAAAAGGAAATAAAAAGTATACAGATCAAAAAGGAAAAACTAGCCCGGCTGATGTGGCTCAGTGGACTGAGTGTCGTCCCATGGACTGAGAGGTTCTGGTTTGATTCCCGGTCAGCGTACATGCCTGGGTTGTGGGCTTAATCCCCAGTGGGGGGACTGTGCAGAAGGGAGCTGATTGATGTTTATCTCTCACATCAATGTTTCTACCTCTCTTCCTTCCTTTCTCTCTAAAAAAAATCAATAAAAACAAATTTTTTTTTTTTTTAAAAAAGGAAGAACTAGCACTGTCCCTATTTGCAGATGACATGACTAAATAGGACTCTACATAAAAGGCCTCCTAGAACTAATAAGTGAGTTCAGCAAGGCCAAACGATACAAGATAAATGTTAGAAAACCAACTGTATTTCTATAAACTAGCATGGACACTGAAGTTACAAATATAATACCATTTAAAATTGCTAAAAGAGCCCTGGCCAGTTTTGCTCAGCGGTTAGAGCGTCGGCCCACAGACCAGAGTCCTGGGTTCAGTTCCCGCTAAGGGCATGTACCTCAGATGCAGTATGTCCCTGGCTCCAGTTGGGGTCGTGTGGGTGGCAACCACTCGATGTGCCCCTCTCACATCGATGTTTCTCTCTCTCTTCCTCCCTCTCTATCTGAAGATAAATGCAAAAATGTTGTCGGGTGAGAATAATTTAAAAAAAAAGATGTCAATTCTCCCCAAAACGACATACAGGCTTAGTGTAATTCCTATCAAAATCTCAGTTACATTTTTTTGTAGATACAGACAAGATTATTCTAAAATTTATATGGAAAGGAAAAGGAACTAGAAATAGCTCTAATATTTTTAGAAAGAATATTTTGAAAACGAATAAAGTGAGAGGAATCAGTTTACCCAATTTTGAGATTTATTATACAGCTACAGTAACCAAGACTATATGGTATCAGTAATCAAGACTATATGGTATAGGTACACAGATCAGTGGAACAGAACAAAAGACACAGAAAGAAACCCTATAAATATGCCCAAATGATTTTTGACAAAGGTGCTAAAGCAATTTAACGGAGGAAGGAGCCTTTTTAACAAATGGTGCTGGACAGTAGGACATCCAGGGGCCAACAAATGAACCTCAGCCAAAACCCTCAAAACTGATCATGGATTTAAATGTAAAATATAAAATTTTTTGAAAAAACCTGAGAAAATCTTTGGTATCTAGGGCTAGGCAAAGAGTTCTTAGATTTGACACCAAAATCATGACTCATAAAAGGAAAAGTTGATAAATAAAAATTATCAATATTAAAAAATGTTGAATAGTGAGTCCAGAAATAAATCCTCAATTATATGGTCAATATACAACAAAGGAGGCAAAGACATACAATGAGTAAAGACAATCTCTTCAATAAGTGCTGTTGGAAATACCAGACAGATATATACAAAAAAATAAAATAAAATCATACCACTTTCTTAGACTATTTACAAAAATAAATTAAAAATGGATTAAAGTCCAGCCGGTGTGACTCAGTAGTTGAGCGTCAACCCATGCACCAAGAGGTGGCCAGTTCGATTCCCAGTCAGGACACATGCCCAGGTTGTGGGCCGGGTCCCCAGTGCGGGGCATGCAGGAGGTGGCCAACTGATGTTTTCTCTCTCATTGATGTTTCTGTCTCTCTCTCCCTCTCACTTCCTCTCTCTCTAAAATCAATAAAGAAATAAAATTTTTTAATGGTTTAAAGACTTAAACATAAGACTTGAAATCATAAAACTCCTAGAAGAAAACATAGATAGTAGACCCTGTGACATGGGTCTTAGTAATATCTCTGTGGATATATCTCTTCAAGCAAGGAAAACAAAAAGAAAAATAAACTAATGGGACTACATTAAACTAAAAAGGTTTTGCACAGTGTGGCTGGTGTTGCTCTGTGGACTGAGCATCTTCCCATGGACTGAGAGGTCCTGGTTCGATCACCAGCCAGGGTGTGCAGGAGGCAGCCAATCGATGTTTCTATCTCTCTCTCCCTTCCTCTCTCTCTAAAAATATCAATAAAACATATTTTTAAAAAATAAAAAGTTTTTGCACAGTGAGGAAAACTATCAATAAAACAAAAATACAACCTACTGAGTGGGAGAAGATATTCACAAATGATACATCCAATAAGGAGTTAATATCCAAAATACATAAGGAACTCATACAACTTAACACCAAAAAAAAAAAATCCAATTAAAAATAGGCAGAGGACCTGAACATTTTTCTAAAGAAGACATACAGATGGACAACAGACATATGAAAAATGTTCAGCGTCACTAATTATCAGGAAAATGCAAATTAAAACCACAGTGAAATGTCATCTCACACCAGTCAGAATGGCTATCATCAATAAATCAACAAACAAGCGTTGGTGCCCTGGCCGGTTTGGCTCAGCGGTTAGAGCATCAGCCTGCGGTCCCGAGAGACCCAGGTTCGGTTCCCGCTAAGGGCATGTACCTTGGTTGCAGTTTGTCCCCGGCCCTGGTCGGTCGTGTGGGTGGCAGCCACACGATGTGTCCCTTTCACATCGATGTTTCTCTCTCTCTCTCTCTCTTTCTCTCTCTCTCTTCCTCCCACTGTACCTGAACAAAAAATGTCCTCGGGTGAGGATAAAAACAAAAAAACAAAAAAAAACAAAAACAAGCGTTGGTGAGAATGTAGAAAAAAGGCACCCTGGTTGGTTTGGCTCAGTGGTTAGAACAACGGCGCAGACCAGAGAAGCCTGGGTTCAGTTCCCGCTAAGGGCATGTACCTTGGTTGCAGTTTGTTCCTGGCCCCGGTTGGGGTCGTGTGGGTGGCAACCACTCGATGTGTGTTTCTCACATCGATGTTTCTTTCTCTCTCTCTCTCTCTCCCCCTCCTGCTCTATCTCAAGATAAATGCAAAAATGTCCTAGGGTGAGGATAGATAAATAAAAAAAGAAAAAAGGGAACCCTCATGCACTGTTGGTAGAATTGCAAATTAGTATAACCACTATGGAAAACAGTATAGAGGTTCCTCTAAAAATTAAAAACAGAACTGCCATATAACTCAGCAATTTCACTTCTGGGTATTTATCCTAAGAAAACCAAAACAGTAATAAAAAAGATACTGTCACCCTTATGTTCACTGCAGCATTATTTACAACAGCTATGATATGGAAGCACACACACACACACACACACACACACACACAATGGAACATTATTCAGCACTATAAAAAATGAAATCTTGACATTAGAGACAACATGGATGGACCTAGAGGATATTATGCAAAGTAAAATAAGTAAGACAGAAAAAGACAAATACCATATGACTTCACTCATATGCAGAACCTAAAAGGACAAAACAAATTAATAAACAAAAAAACAGAAACAAGACCCATAAATATAGATAACAACCTAATGGTTGACAAAAGGGAGGTGGGAATGGAGAATGGGAAGTAAAAATTTTAAATAAATAAATACAATAAAATAAAAACTGGGGGGAAATGCTTGCTCTGCAAAAGAATGAAAAAATAAGCTACAGCCTTGGAAAAGAAATATTTAAAAACCATATATCCAATACAACAAAGACTAGTATCTAGAGTATTTTCAAACGTCAACAGTGTTTTAAAATCCAGTTAGAAATTGGGCAAAAGATGTAAGAAGACATTCGACCAAAGAGGATTTACAGATGGAAAATGAGCACATAAAAAGATGGTCAACATCATTAGCCACCAGAAGACGCAAATTACAACCACAATGAATGTCACTAAAACGTATCAGAATGGCTACAATATCATAGGGCTCCAATATGGAGGAACCTGGAGAACATTACACTGAGTGAAATAAGCCAAATACAAAAGGAAAAATAAATTCCCCTTACATAAGGTCCTTAGAGGAGTCAAATTCATAGAGCCAGAAAGTAGAATGGTGGGTGACGGGCTGGGAAGGTAGTGTTTAATGGAGACAGAGTTTCAGTTTGGGAAGATGGAAAGTTCTGGTGATGGTTGCACAACAATGTGAATGTGCTTAATAACACTGAGCTGTACACTTAAACATGGTTAGGATGGCCAATTTTATGATATGTACATACTACCACAATTTTTAGAAATATATTTTAAAAAAGAAAAAAAGGAAGAAATGGATGGAACTCCAGAAACACGGGACCCAGGTCCAGTACACAGATGGGGGCCTCACTGCATTCATTTTATGAAGCCACATGGACAGTGTTTGGAATTCACTCTCAGGCCAGGCTAGGGTCAGAGATCTAGAGGACACTTGGAGCCGGGCAGCCATTAAGACAGCCTTACGATTCTGAAAGGGCTGAAGTCTCCAGATCAATACAGTTCATCCTTGCAGATGTTACAGCAACCAGGAAGTAGAGCAGGACCCAAATATAAATACCTGGGACTGGACAGGGGAATACGGGCTTCCAGGTTCTCCACTCAGGAGAGTTTCACTGTTCATTTTCGTTTTTAGACAAGCAATATATCGACTGCAGAAATCTTTGCAGAGTTCATTAACCTTTTCCAGCTCAAGAAGATGAATACGCAAAACCTGGATTGCTTTTACCATCTAGAAGCAAAGAAAATGAAGACTTTCAGACAAGAAAAAAGTAGCATGATATTAAGTTATAATTATCACCACACAACTACTGTCAGTTATTAGCCTGAACCCTGCATAGCCATCACATCTGTACTGCCAGTGACAGAAGTGGAATAACATGGAATATTGTGTAAAATGACAAATCGTTCCAGCACTACTGACCTGTGGTTTGGCATTTCAGCTCCCTCTGGTGTGCAGGGAAGACAGGCAATGACAGTGCTGACCTCACCAAGTACAATGCCAGGACCAGCCAGACCTCAGCCAGCCTCACCACTACCTCAGGCCCCACAGGCAAGATACCAACCCTCACTCTGTCCCGGTTTCTTCATCTATAAACCAGGAAGGATCCAAACCCACTCCATAGGTGGTTATTAATTTTGATCAAGTTCAACTTACCAACTCTGCATTTTATGGATCGTGCTTTTGGTGTTGTCTAAGACCTATTTGCCTAGCCCTACATCCTAAAAATTTTCTCTTATGATTTTTCTAAGTTTATGGTTTTGGATTAATTCACTACATTTTGGAGTAATTGTCCTACAGCAGTAGATAACTGATACTGATAATGAAACCATTACCGTAAATAGCACCTGCCTGTGAGTCCACACCCAAAGCTCAGCTCCTTCCCCTGTGCCCGACACAGCAATCCACAGTGCTTGTGGAATGAACCAGTCAGTCAGTCAGTCAGTCAATAATGAGGAATACGGAGCATCAAGCTCTGCTAGGGCCTGTGCTCTAGCAGGAGAGCATTGGTCCCTGCCAACCTGGGGCCCCTGTGCCACTCCTGCTCCTCAGTGGCTGATGGCTGTATGACAGATTCAGAGGCAGAGAGAGCGTCTGATCTGAAGTCCAAAAGGACAGGCACTGTCAGTTCCATTTCAAAGATGAAGAGACAGCCTGCAAGTCAGACAACTAACCTAAACTCACTTAAAATCTATAGGCTACAAGGGTTGAATGTATAATGAGAAATTAAAAAAAAAAAAAAAAAAATTAAGACCTGGGCAATTTATTCAGGAAAAATATTTCCAAAGACCCTTTTGTGCTGATCAGGGCCTGATGAAGGTTTTGGTCTGGGAGCTAGCAGGTTTTCATGGAATTCCAGTGAGGGCCCAGACACAGCTGATAGTACACCACAGTACTGAACAGCATTGCTCCCCTTGGGTGCAGCGCTGACATAACTCCACAGAATTCTCCATTTCTGTCAGCAAGCACAGAGAATCCTGAACTTTACAGCACTGGACCTGGGAGGAGGGCACTTACGTGAGACAGAATGGCTTCAGACAGAAAGACCAAGGGAGGCAGTGAGGGGCCTTGGACCTTTGTTAAGCCTGCCCCTACTCTATGCTAGTAGGCTTCACCAAGTCTTTGTAAACTTTGTCATCCACCACAAATCAGTGTGAACCTCAAGACAGAGCTGTCCTAGAGAATAAAGTCATGTGTTCATGGGTCAAGGAAAAGTCAAGAACTGAAGCTAGGTATAGACATGCTTGCCTGAGAAACAAGGCAGGTGAGCACACCAACCCCAATGAACCTTTCAAATATTTAGGAGAACTGAATCCCCTGGTCCATTTGACGATCACAGAAAAGAGTAACTAGAGAAGGACGGAAGACATTCAAGCCACACACACACACACACACTCTCGCTCGCTCTCTCTCTCTCAAGTAAGTTATTTCATGAATTGTATGATTCTCCCCTTTAGCAAAAGTACAAACGGTCTAAAGTTCTAACTGAAATTTTAAAATTTATTGAACAGACTTTAAATACGGAAGAAATAAAAAATAAAAATAAAATGTATTTTACTCACTAAATTGTCAGTTTCCGAGTCTTCACAAAAGAAGGGTTTGCCTTCCTTCTCTTGCTTCCTTACAAAATTTTCAATGTCCACGTCAAAACTGGCAGAAGTTGTACCTTCTGAGCCCTGCGTGGATTGCTCACATTTTTCAAACAACAAAGCTAATAATGGAAACAGTGGATGCCTGGGGGAAAAGGAAAAAAAAGTACGCCCTACAGTTACATGAGAATGTTTTGATATGTATGTACGTAGGCATTATTTAACATATCAAGCTTCACTGAGATGTAACTCATATAACATAAAATTTATTCAAAGTTCACAAGTCCATGGTTTTTAGTACATTCACAAAGCTGTGCAACCATCATGACAGTCAGTTATGGAACATTTTTATCATCCCCAAAAGAAATCCTGTAGCCATCAGCAGTCACTCTCCACTTCACCCCAAAGCTCCAACCCCAGGCCACCACTAATCTGCTTTCTGTCTCCATAGATTTGCCAATTCTAGACATTTCATATAATATGTGACCTTTTGTGTCTGGCATCTTTCACTTAGCATAAGGTTTTCAAGACTCACTAATGCTATAACAGGTATCAGTACCTTATTCCTTTTTATGGCCAATAATATTCCATTGTATTGATGTACCAATTTTACAGTTTTGAAATATACATTTAGGTCTATAATCCATTTTGAGTAACTTTTTGTATAAGATGTGAGAGTAGGTCAAGGATCTTTTTTCTGCACATGGATGTCTAATTGTTCTAACATGATTTGTTCGAAAGTCTACCTTTTCTCCATTGAGTTGTTTTTGTGCCTTGGCTAAAGATCAAATCATATTTGTTAGACTTATTTCTGAACTCTATCCGTGGCAATGATCTATGTGTCTATCCCTTCACAAATGTCACAGTGTCTTAATTACTGTAACATGAAAGCAAATCTTAAGATCAAGTTGACTGATTCTTCCTTTATTCTTCTTTGTCAAAAATGATTTAGTTAATCTAGTTCTTTTGACTTCCATATAAAATTTAAAATTAACTTGTTTATATGTACAAGAGCATCCTGCTAAAACTTCATTGGAATTGCATTAAGTCTATAGATTGATTTTAGAACTCACATCTTTATATTGACTCCTTCAATCCATGAAGATGGTATGTCCTATCATTTATTAGGTTGTCTTTGATTGTTTGCATCAGAATTTTATAGGTATAGATTTAAAACTTACACCTGTTTTTTGGAGCTCTTGTAAATGTACTGTCTTTTTAATTTCTGTTTCCAATTCTATATTACTGGTATAGAAATAGGATTGGTTTCTATGTGTTGTATGTGTAACCTGTGACCTTATTAAATTCATTATGTGCCTGAAATTTTTTGGAAGAAGCTGAGATTTTCTATGTAGACAATCATGTCATTTGTGCATTGAGCCAGTTTTATTTCTTCCTCCGTAATCTTTTTCTTGTCTTACTGCATTGGCTAGGATTTCCATTACAGTGCTGAATAAGAGGAATTAGGATGGACATCTCTTCCTCATTCCCAACCTTAGGAGAAAGCATTCAGTCTTTCACCATCAAGTCTGATGTGAACTGGTCCGGCTGGTGTGGCTCAGTGGTTACGCATTAACCCACGAACCAAGGGGTTGCTGGTTCAATTCCCAGTTGGGACACATGCCCAGGTTGTGGGCCCAATCCCCAGTGGGGGGCATACAGGAGGCAGCCAATCGATGTTCTCTCTCATTGATGTTTCTCTCTCTCTCCCTCTCACTTTCTCTCTCTCTAAAATCAGTAAAGGGAAAAAAAAGTCTGATGTGAACTGCATGTAGGTTTTTCTAGTTGCCTTTCATCAGGTTAAGAAAGTTTCCCTTTGCTGACAGTTTTTAATAATAATTAGCTGTTGATTTTGTCAAATGCTTTCCTGTACCACTTGATATGATCATACTATGGATCTCATTGATTTATCTTTGAACAGTGAACTAGTCTTTCATTCCTAGGATAAACTCCACTTGGTCACTATACATTATTCTAATATTACTCTATTATTTTTTGTGGCTGGATTCAATTTAACATTTTTTTATGGTTTTTATTTTATATCCAAATTCATGAGGGACATTTGTCTATTCTAATTTTTTTTTTTTTTTATTGCTTTGGTATCAGAGTGATGCTTAATTTGTAAATTGAATTGGGAAGCATTCCTCAAATCTTTATTTTCTGAAAGAGATTATTCAGACTTGCTGCTTTTTTTTCTATAAGGTTGGTAAAATTCTCTAGTAAAATCATCTGGGGCTGAGGATTACTTTTTGCAAGGTGGACTAAAATGTAGATTAACATTTTAAAACTTTTTTTAAAAGACAGAAATAACATCTTTATCTGAGAAAAATCTTTACACCATACCTTACTCTGACTAGCTAATAGCTCCCTAATGTTCCCTCAAACAAGGTTTTCTACTCTCATTATTCCTCTAAAAACCCACACACTTCACATCTCTTCGCTACCTATAAATGGCCTGCTTGTCTGCATCCATCGGTGTCTGGGACCCCACAGGGGGAGGGCTCACTCCTTCCACATCAGGTTCAGAGCAGTTGGGGTCTTGCTCAGTTTTTAACTCTGTTACTACTTGCATCTGTGAAAGGAGGAGGATAATTGTTGTTACTAAACAGGAAACAAACTGCTATTAAGTGTTCTAGTCTCAGACAGGAATGCACTGGGAAGGGGAAACTGCCAGCTATGTGACTGGCACCAATACAAACGAACACCACCCACAAACTCCTTTTTAATTTAATGTTTATAAAATGGCTAAAGATCAAATTTCCAAACCATTTAAAAACAAAGAGGACTGATATCTGTGAAATGTTTATGATTTTCAAAACGATAACAACTATACATTACTGAAGGGAATTGGTCTATATGCAGTCTTACTGTCTGTTTCTGCCTACAGTATAGCCTCATGCTGGATAACATCACAGCAAGAGAAGAATAAAACAATTATCCAAGCTCTTCTTATCTTGTCACAAAAACAACTCATACCCAACATGCTACCTATCTGTGACAGGCCTGAAATTCTCCTCTATCCTTAAACTTCATGAATACATAAACTATAAAATTCTTTTTAAAAAAGCACTATATTCAAGAAATAAAGACCAGTTGTATTTAAAGAAATAGTACTAAATATAAGAGGAAGTCTTTAAGATATTATTATTTAAATTGCTGCCCTGGCCGGTTTGGCTCTGTGGTTAGAGCATCGGCCAGAGGGTCAAAGAGTTTCAGGTTCAATTCCTAGTCAATGGCATGTACCTTGGTTGCAGGTTCAATCCCCACCCCAGTCGGGGTGGTACTGGAGGCAACCAATCGACATGTTGTTCTCACATCAATGTTTCTCTCTCTCTCTCCTTCCCTCCCTCCCTCCTACTCTACCTAAATATCAATTGAAAAATATCCTCAGGGGAGGATTAAAAAGTAAAATATAATTTAAATAAATAAATTCTTTAAACCAGCTATGTTGTTTATAAGTTAGGTAAAAAGTACTTAAATCCTTAAATATAAAGAATTCAGTTTTAAAAAATTGCTGCAGCCCTGGCCAGTTTGGTTCAGCGGTTAGAGCGACGGCCGGTGGACCAGTGAGTCATGGGTTCGGTTCCAGTCAAGGGCACATACCTTGGTTGTGATTCGCCCCTGACCCTGATTAGGGTCATGCGGGAGGCAACCAGTCGACGTGTCTCTTTCACATCGATGTTTCTCTCTCTCTCTCTCTCCCTCTCTCTCTCCCTCCCTCCTACTGTATCTGAAAAACAACAACAACAAAAATTGCTGCCGTATGTTTATAATTATCCATGAGCACATTACCTCCCACACCTGCCCAGCCCCAGCTGCCATGCCTCTGTCCCTCAAGGATGAGCTGGGGTAGGGGACTCATCCCCAGGATACTGGAGAGTCCTGTCATGAATCCCACCCTGATACCCAGGGGCTCTGACCAAGGGAGCAGTGTTGCAGACTCAGGCTCTTTAACAGTCCAGAGTGACAAGGACACTTCCATTCTGCTGCTTTTAAATGGTATAGTGTACTTGGGAAATTGTTTTTCCTGCCCTCTTAGAAAAAATAAAATAAAGCAATGAACTAAAGCCCACATAAACACAATCTTTCCAGAGGGAAATCTGACAATACTATAAAAAAGCCTTGAGAGATTTATTTTAGGGTTTCTTTTTTAATGACTGTGAAAAAAGGGAAACTAAATGTTCAGCCTCAGAGGAATGGCTAAGTAAATTTGGTATATGTATACTGAATAACACTAAGTGCTTATGTTTTCACCCTGGCCAGGTAGCTCAGTTGGTTAGAGAGTCATCCCGATACACCAAGGTTGTGGTTCGATCCCTGGTCAGGGCACATACAGAATCAACCAATGAATGCATAAATGGGCGGAACAACAGATCAATGTTTTCCTCTCTCAAAATAAATAAATAAATAAATAAAGTCCTAACAGAGTTTTCCATGTCATGAGAAAGTGCTTAGCTATTAAAATCAAGGGGTTCTACCACCCTCACCTGCCCACCACCCCTGCTGTGCCTGGCACTGCACTGGGCACCCACTGCATCAGGGCACAGCCAGGGAGGAAGACTGACAGGAGTAAGCACAGAAGACCATCACTTAACAGAATATGCCAGAAGGTGATCACTGCTAGGAAGGAGAAAATGATCAGAGAAAGCTGCAGTGGTAACGGGCAGGTAGGAGAGTCTTCGCAGAAAGGGTGATTTAGGCAAAGGCCTGCAGGACAGGAAGGAGCTGGCCAAGCTGTAGCCCAAGGGAAGATGACTAAAGGGAAGAGCCAGGGCCACAGGGCAAGAGGTGCCAGCAGTGGGGCAGGCAGAGGCGAGTGCACTAAGGGGGCTGTGGGGTGGGCCTGGCATCTGAGTGGCCAGGCAATGTGGGGGGTGGGGTGGGGGAAGAGGCTCTCAGGGCAGGCCTCAGCAAGGAGAGGAGTCATCATTTGATTTGTGTGGTAGAAACAGAAGTCACTTGGACATATCAAAGAACTTCCAGATGAAAAGAACAGGCTGAAACAGAATTCTCCACCTCAATTTCTCTAAGCAGCAAAAAATCACTTAAAAAAATTTAAAAGCCTAAAAAAACAAACAAAATCTCTGCAACAGCAACCAAACCAGAAATGGTACAAAACTGACCAAGGAAAGAGACCAGAGTCAGGAAGGGTGGGGGAACAGAGACTCAGGTCCTACCTGCCCACTTGGAGCCCACCCGGAGCCTCACCGTGTGGGGCTATGACCTCCTATGGGAGAGTCAACCCTACCCAATTTGATCAGTTGATCGTGCTCAGTAGAGTCCTCCAGGAGGGCAAGAAGAGAGCTGCTGGCGTGGGCATTCTGTTCCTGCCTCCTGAGTATGAGGTGGACGGGAAGCAAAGGCAGAGATGAATGTCTCCATGAAAATCAGCTCCCAGCCTCCAGAGAAGGAGGGGGAACGGCCCCCACTGGGAGCACACAGAGCATTCCCAAGACTCCAGGTGTCCCAAGAGAGGCGGCACAGGCCTCGATGAGCCCCCTCCTTCCTAATTACTTGAGGTCACAGAACACAGAACACCTGGATAGCTTCAAGGAAAACCATGTCTTACAGACAGTGGGTAGGCTGTCAAAAAACGACCCACATGATCAAAAAAAGCCATGCAGGCACAGTCATGGGCATGAGCAGGAGAAAGGTGCAGACAACACTGTACTGAGTCACATGTACATGAGGACAGTCCCCTCTGCCCCTCACACCTGGGGATATGAAACCACACAATTACCTCTCAGATTAGCAACCATCATCATGAGAATCTGTGATTATCCACAACACACAGCTCTTTTTTTTTTTAATCCTCACCCGAGGACATTTTTCCATTTTTTTGTTCAGATAGAGTGGGAGGGAGAGAGGGAGAGAGAGAGAAACATCGACGTGAAAGGGACACATCGAGTGGTTGCCACCCACACAACCCAACCAGAGCCGGGGACAAACTGCAACCAAGGTACATGCCCTTAGCAGGAACCCAGGTCTCTCTGGACCGCAGGCCAACGCTCTAACTGCTGAGCCAAACCAGCCAGGGCCACACAGCTTTTCTTTAAAAGCAATAATACTTGCTAAATCTGACATTAAAATGACAAATTTCCAGGCCTCCTGGTGCTTACCAAAGGCTGTGTGTTCTGTTTTGTTTTTTAATTGATTTTTCAGAGAAAGGAAGGAAGACAAAGAAATATTGATTTGTTTTTCCACTTATTTGTTCATTCACTGGTTGCTTCTTGTATGTGTCCTGACTGGGGACTGAATCTGCAACCTTGGCATATCGGGATGATGGTCTAACCATCTGAGCTACCTGGCCAGAGCCACAGGCTGTGTTCTTATACAGACTGCACAGAAAGAGAAGGCCAAGTAAACCTACCCCACATACACACCTCAGCCTGGGCCCTTTGCCTAGTCTGTATTGTGAATGGGGGGACATGGAGTTAAGGAGGTCTGGAATCTGACTATTTTCACTTCCTTCCAGGCAAAGAACAGATGTGCAGAGGGCTGAGGCTGTAGCTTTATTTGAGACATGGCAGCTGGAACAGGGAGTGATTGTGGCTCCAAAAAAAAAGGCAAAAGCCCATGAAAGTATGACTTAGGAGAGTCAAAATTTCTAGCAATCTTGGTAACACTTAGGAAATAATTTGAACATATAATAAATGCATAATAAAATAAAAATGAACCTGCAACCTTTGGGAAACAGATTAATATAGAAAGCATTGCTTGCATTTTAGTACTAGATTAACTGATTAAAATGCAGAATACGACTTAAGGTCTCACTTGTTGCCCATCTTGATAGCTGTCTATGCTTAATGTCTGTGTAGCCATCATGGTTAATGTATTTATTATAAAACTTCAAATCATTTTGAGTCAAAAGCAAAGGGTGTCTGGAAAACAAAAGCAAAAAAGCATCAGTTAATAATTACAGTGCCTTTTTTGTCCCCCTATTCCACAGCATCCATATAATTTTTTAAATACATATTTTCACATGGAGAAAAATAACCATCCTTAACTTTGTGCTATAAGCCAAATCCTACTCAGCATCACCCTACTTACCTGGTGATCACATGTTTATTCTTGCATAGGGCCTGCCTTGCTATCACGTTTTTCAGTCATTTGCATTTATTCATTCACTTGCCCAGCTGGCTAGTGAATGTATGCACACCCTGGACACTATTCTAGGGAGGCCCTGCTTTCCTGGGCAGACGAGGCCAGGGGCTGCGGGACCACAAACATGAGGAAGGTCAGGCAGCACATGCGGAACCAGCTCACAGGTTCTCATGGGCTGTCGTGAAGACCTGGTGTACCTGGGAAGGTCTGAGCAGAAGGGTGACTTGACTGATGTCTTAGGAGGGTCCCTCTGACTATGAAGGACAGGCTACGTGACTGGGGAACACACAGAGGATGGGTAGGGGGTGCTGCCATGGACAGGCAGGGGGCCATGTGGACAAGGGGGCCCAGAGCACAGGTTCTGCGGAAGGCCTGCGGTTGGGTTCCCACCTGAGCAAGTAGCAGAGCAGAGCCACATGTCCCGGTGAGGAGCAGATTCTTTAGTCTAGGAAGAGAAAGCAAGAGTCAGTGTGATAGGTGTGAGATGCTTCTCGGAAATCCAAGAGGATTCGCTCTCTCCATCTCTCCCTCCCTCCTATTGTGTCTGAGGATAAATGGAAAAATATGCTCGGGTGAGGATTAAAAGAAAAAAACTAAAAAAAGCCCTGGCCGATTTGGCTCAACAGTAGAGCGAGAGTGTCAGCCTGTGGACCAATGAGTCGTGGGTTCAATTCCAGTCAAGGGCACATACCTTGGTTGTGGTTCTTCCATGGCCCTGGTGGGGGTCGTACAGGAGGCAACCAGTCGATGTGTCTCTTTCACACGATGTTTCTCTCTCTCCATCTCTCCCTCCTTCCTACTCTATCTGAAGATAAATGGAAAAATATCCTTGGGTGAGGATTTAAAAAAAAAAAAGAAATCCAAGAGGAAATTCTGAACAAATGAGTCTGGCCCAGAAATACATCAGTAATCATCAGGATGTGGTTAGTATGTGCAGATGGGGTCAAACTGTGTTGTCCAAGAAACACCCAAGTTCTAACCCCCCAGTCCCTACAAATGGAACCTTATCTGGAAAAGGTCTTTACAGATATGATTATTAAGGATCTTGAGATGAGATCATCCTGGACTGAGGAGGGGCCCTAGATCCCATGACTGGTGTCCTTTAAGAGGGGGAAGAAAAAGATCTGAGACACGCTGGAGGGAAAACTGTGTGAATTAGAGGCAGAGATTGGAGCGATGCTGCTACAAGCCAAGAACGACCGGCCACCAGGTGGTAGAAGGCCTGAGTGTTCAGAGGAAGCGTGGCCCTGTCCACACCTTGACTTTGGGTCTGGCTGCCAGGGCCGAGATAACCATTCCTCTTGTTTCCATCCACCCAGTTAGTTTCCATCCACCCACTTGGTTCCGGCAACCACAGGACCCCTAAGGCAATGACTAAAGCCACTAAACTCTCACCACCCAGGAAGAGAGTGGAGGTGAGCCATGTTAGAAGGCTGGGAAGCCAGGGGACCCAGCACAGAATGAGTGGCAGCCAGCGGGACAAGGGTAGAATCGAGTGATGCCACTCACACTGGTGGAGGAGGAGGGGCCAAGCCGCTGAGGGTGAAGGAAGAGAGACTGAGCATGGTCATGTGCGGAGGGGAGAGGAAAGAACCGGGTCCAAAAATGTAGATGTGAGCAAAGACCATCTTCATCTTTGTGTCCTCTCATGCTGTGGCCTTTGACCTCACTGCCTTTAGTAAGCACATCAAAGCCTTCTAGTTAATGATTATCTGTGTTCCCTAAAATATAACCATAAATATTTTGGTTAGTAATGGCCAGGATGACAACCGAAATATATAGCAAACTGGTGACAGTATCAATCACCAGGAGGGATGGCCCCTGGTACTACTACATTCTTTGTCTATTTTGTCTTGTCAATCATTAGTAACTGAGTTATAAAAACAGTGCAGTGGGGAGCAGGATGGGGAGGAGGGGGCCTAGGGGGAAAAAGGAGAAACATCTATAACAAAAATAAGTTAATAAAAACTGGAGAAAATAAATAAACAAACAAATAAATAAATAAATAAAAACAGTGCAGTAACAGCAGTCTTAGGGGTGGGGCATAATTTGCACTGAACTGCCGGGTCCTGTCTGCTCCAGCCCCAATCTTCCCGTAAGTAAACTACCCTGTAATAAGTTCCATTACAATCTATAGAGTTGGCTGTTCCATCTTTCAGTCTAAAGATACCTTCTCATTAAAGTGGCCATTACACCTTTGCCCCAGCATTGTACCGCAGGACTCGGCAACCCTACTGCTGGGAAGGGATCTCATGTGTAGTCATCATGATGTTGCTCTCTCTGCCCTCTGACACCCCCGATCTTAAGAGAGAGGACCGCACATCTGCAGACCTGTTACTGAGTATCTCCCAATGGTCTGTTTCCTTGACCAAAACCTGGCCCTCCTCCCAGTGCCATTATCTGCCCCCCAGAGTGCCCTGATCTTCCCTGCATCCCAGGCAGACTCCAGCCCACACCAGGCCACACCTTGATCAGGGCAGGCCTCCTTTTCTCTATTCTCAACGTTCCAAAGTACAAACCTGGTCCAAACCGCCCTTGCAGATAAAGTCTCAGGACTGACCCTTGCCTGACCTTGCCCTTCCACTACAGCCCCTTCCCCACTCCAAGTGTGGACACAGTTAAAGGGATGGCCATCTGTAGTTCCTCCAGTAGGCTGACTTCTTGACCAGCCTGGTAGTTCTGCCCAAATACTCTGGTCTTCTCCAAGCATGACCAGTTTGTACACATGGATTATCATCCACACTACCTTTCTCCAAGTCTTCCCAGTGGCTCACCCCCACCCACAAGTTGAAAACAAGAGTTGTCAGTAAGAATTCAGGGTTTTTAATATACACGAATATCTAGAATACATACAGATCCATGCACATCACATATATACATGAATATTCACACATAGTATATATATACACACATGCATGAAAGCACACACACTTTCCTGGTTCTGTCCACTGAAAGGGCCTAGAAGCAATGATACTCAGTAGCAGTGAGCACTTAGTACCGATATATTGGTTGATAAATATTGTTCTCAATAAAAAGAATCAGGGCTCCTCAGATAAATGGCTGATTTGATTCCAGGGCTGGGTCAGGTAAAGTACAAGATGAGCCTGAAACTTGTACTCAAAATATTATGGGGGTATATTAAAAAGACAGACCAAACAGCCTGCAGGTACTATCCCTGGTCAAATCTGGGACAATCTGAGCAACAAAATATGATGGTAACTGGGAATAAAATAAGAATCCAAGAGTCACCCTGGCCAGTGTGGTTCAGTGGTTAGAATGTCAGCCTGGGCACTGAAGGGTCGCAGGTTCGATTCCCAGTCAAGAGCACCTACCTGGGTTGCAGGTTTTATCCCCGGCCCTGGTTGGGATGTGTGCAGGACGCAATCAATCAATGTGTCTCTCTCACATCGATGTTTCTATCTCTCTCTCTCTCTCTCTCTCCCCCTCCCTCCCCCACTCCCTTTCACTCTCCAAAAATCAATTTAAAAATATCCTTGATTGCCCTGGCCGGTCTGGCTCAGCGGTTAGAGCGTCGGCCTGCGGTCCGGAGAGACCCGGGTTCGGTTCCCACTAAGGGCATGTACTTCGGTTGCAGTTTGTCCCCGGCCCTGGTTGGTCGTGCGGGTGGCAGCCACTCGATGTGTCCCTTCACATCGATGTTTCTGTCTCTCTCTCCCTTCCTCTCTCTCCCTCCCACTCTATCTGTACAAAAAATGGAAAAATATCCTCGGGTGAGGATAAAAAAAAAAAAAAATCCTTGATTTAGGATTAACAACAACAAAAAGAATCCACGAGTCCATACTGAAAGAAATATATAAACAAATAAATGGGGCAAGCTCTAAATTACAGTAGAGTTCTGACAACACAAAGAGGAGGACGGATACTGATCACCACAGTAATCACTGCTTCAGGCAAGAAGTACCACGGACCTCAATACTATCCAGTGAAAGCGAGATGAGAAATGCATGTGGTCCCAGAAGACCTGCCACAAGGTAGTTACTGTTAACTACAAGGGAAAACAGTAACTTTAAAATGGAGAGACCTGGCAGAAAACACCTTAACCAAAAGGTGAAAAGTCACATCAACAGTAATGAGACAAATGAACATGATGGGCCTTCCAAAAAGGATACAGAATGAAACTTCTGGGCAGATCTGCCCAATCCCGAGGACGTGCTCGCTGATCAAAATAAAAAGGGTGAGGGAACTGTTCTGAACTAAAAGACAGAAGAAACAACCACCACATGCAGTGTGTGATCCTGGTTTAAAAAACAAAAGCTGTAAAAGACAGTTTGGGAAGTTCTGGGAGATGAGATACAAAGTTGATATGAGCCAGCATGAGAGACTGTGTGTTATGATGGTGTGATGATGCTATACGCTCATGGAAACACCTTTGTTTTGAGGAGCAAGGGCTGAGATGTTTAAGGGTATGGTCATGGTTTCCACAGTTTATTTTTTATTTTAAAAAATGTTTGCCCTGGCTGGTTTTGCTCAGTGGCTACAGTGTTAGCCTGCAGACTGGTTCAATTCCAGTCAAGGGCACATATCTCGGTTGCAGTTCGGTCCCTGGCCCTGGTCAGGGTGGTGCAGGAGGCAACCAGTTTACATCGATGTTTCTCTCTCTCCCCCCCACTACTTTGAAATTAAATAGAAAAATATCCCCTGAGGAGGATTTAAAAATATATATAGTTATTGATTTTGTTTTTTTAGAGAGGGAGAGAAGAGAGAGAAACATTGATTTATTATTCCACGTATTTATGTTTTTATTGGTTACTTCCTGTATGTTTCCTGACTGGAGATTAAAGCTGCAACCTTGGTGTATCAGGATGACGCTCTAACCAACTGAGCTACCCAGCCAGAGCCTCCAGAGTTTACATTTTTTATTTTTATTTTTTTCTAACCCAAGGATAGTTTTCCTTTTTTTTTCTTAAGATAGAGTGGAAGGGAAAGAGAAAGAGAAAAACATCGACGTGAGAAAGACACATCAATTGGCTGCTTCCTGCACGACCCCAAAGAGGGTTAGGAATTGAACCTGCAACCCAGGTATGTGCCTTTGACTGGGAATCAAACCTGAGACCCTTTGGTCCTTGGGCCAACACTCTAACCACTGAGCAAAACTGGCCAGGACTGCAGCTTATTTTTATTTTTTTTAAATCCTCACCCAAGGATATTTTTCCATTTATCTTCAGATAGGGAGGGAGGGAGGGAGGGAGGGAGGGAGAAACATCAATGTGAGAGAGACACATCAACTGCCACATGACCCCGACCAGGACCAGGGACCGAACCGCAACCAAGGTATGTGGCCTTGACTGGAATCGAACACGCAACTCTTTGGTCCTCGGGCCAACGCTCTAACCGCTGAGCCAAATGGGCCAGGGTTCATAATTTAATTTAAGTGGTCAACAAGAGTGCACACTCAACTACACAAATTGTAGCCAAAGTGAACAACTGCTGAGTGGAGGTGGTAGAGGATCACTGTTCTACTCTTAACTTCTTGTGTTTCAAAATGCTTGTAATAAATATTGGGGAGAAATCAGAATTTTATTTCAAAACTGTATAGATTTGCAGTCCTTCTATCAAAACTAGTTAAAACTTCAATATCTGATATAAATTTGTACAACTGTTCTAGAGGAAAAATTGGAAATTTGTGTCAAAAGCTTTGAAAATACATGCTTTCTTTACAATGGAATACCATGCGAGGAATTTTTAAAAAGACAACTCTACATGACTAATGTAGATTGTTTAGTAAACATAGGGGCAGAGTACAAGGTGACCAATACGCCTACGGGACATCAAAGAAGCCGGAGAGAAGTTATCAGCAGCATCTGCTCAAGACTGCTGCCAACGGGTTATGAGTAGACACCGCAGCCAGCGCCACCACATGGACCAGCCATTTGCAAATTTGTCTCTCATAATTTGTGGAGGTCCTTTTTTCCAAATTCCACTCTAGCAAAATGTAATACTGACTGGTACCTTCAAGAAGGCAGGCAAGCAGGTCTCAGCAGAATTCACAGGGCTCATCTCAGCAGACTTCTTGGGCTTAGGAGGTGGCATTCTGCTCTGGTCAAGGCCTCTGTCAATGCTCAGCTACAGGACCTCAGATCACTGGCCCAGGCAGCTCCAAGACAGAATCTGAGTGACTAAGTGATATCTACCATCAACTAGGAAATAACTGAAAGCATCTGACCTAAGGATAATGGTCAACAAGGCCCATCTTTCTTTATCTGTTTTATTGGGCATTACGTAAAAACCAAAATTTGGAAACAATCAATTAATCCCCATTTCTTCCCCCCATTACACTCAAACAGTGTCTTAATTTCGTAACATCACATGGGGCTTTAAAATTCAAGTCAAAGAATTGCCAACTCAATGTAATTATGATACCATGGTGTTTAAGGGTCAGACATAGTTTTTGACCATATTATTTCTACAAATTTCACCCAATTAAAAAAGATATATAATTTGTTGTAATTGTCACTTTGGTACCCTTTCGAGAGCTCCAGCCAAACTAATACAAATGAAATAAGCACAACTTTCCAATGTTAATGGACAGAAATATTAAAACTCACTAGTAATTAAATACTAATTTTTAAAAAATATACCTTTCATCTAGCAATTATTAAATTTAAAACAACCATGTTGCCAACAAGGATGAAGTAAACTTGAAATTCACAAACTAGTTTGGAAAGCAATGTGATCTTATGTAGTCAGTCATGAAAAAAACAACACATGCTTCTCAAATCAACCAGAGACTGTGGCATTCATGTTGTGGCCTTAAAGGCAGACAAAATATGAAGTCTGAGCTGAAGCTAAGAGGCTGACATTTTAATATTTTTCAGCTTTCTTGTCCAAGCTGACTGGAATAAGAAAAGTTTATTAGAAAAGGGTCAGATATAAATGGTTTAGTTGAATCCGATCTCGTGGAGTCTTTCCTGCTCAAACAATATGGATGAATCTGGGAAGGTTGCAGCTGGCTAAGTCAGTACAGCCTTAAAAAGAAGGTGTAGCCCTGGCCAGTTTGGCTCAGAGGTTAGAGCGTTGGCCTGCGGTCCAGAGTGACCCGGGTTCGGTTCCTGCTAAGGGCATGTACCTCGGTTGCAGTTTGTCCCCAGCCCTGGTTGGTTGTGTGAGTGGGTGGCAGCCACTTGATGTGTCCCTTTCACATTGATGTCTCTCTCTCTCTCTCCCTCCCTCCCTCTCTCTCCCTCCCTCCCTCTCTCTCCCTTCCACTCTATCTGAACAACAACAACAACAACAAACAGAAAAATGTCCTCAGGTGAGGATAAAAATTTAAAAAAAGAAGGTGCAGTGTGCCGGTCAGAGGGCAGAGGAAGGCCCTGAAGTCGGAGGGCCTCACTTCTCCTCCCAGCCGCAACTTTCTAGTCAACATGGGTCCCTCACACTTGTCTGAGATGACTTAGTGCCTTAACGGTATCGTTAAACCCTGCAGAAGATTTAGATTTTAATATTTTGGTGTTCAGCTTCAGAATAATCTATGTATTTGACATTAAGGTGCTTGGAATAGTTAAGAAAATCTGACAAATTAATCTCAAACTTTAGCCTTGATATTAACTTAAAAGGTATAATTAATTGCATTATTGATTTTAATCCTCACCTGAGGACATTTTTGCATTTATCTTCAGATAGAGCGGGAAGGAGAGAGGGAGGAAGAAAGAAACATCGATGTGAAAGAGACACATCAAGTGGTTGCCACCCACACAACCCCATGGGGCTGGGGACAAACTACAACCGCAGTATGTGCCCTTAGCGGGAACCGAACCCAGGACTCTCTGGTCTGCGGGCCGGTGCTCTAACTGGTGAGCCAAACTGGCCAGCGCCATAATTTCTTTTTTTAGTTAAAAGATATAGGAGCAAAATTCACAAAGACTATAAACATCTCTTCAGTTATGCAAGTTTATCAATCGCTGGGCACAGTACTAGGCCCTGGGGTTACAGCAGTGAGCAAAACCAAGGCCCTGACCGCAAAGCTCACCCCTGGCAGACGGGGCTGGAAAGTCTGAGAACATGAGATTCACTATATGTATAATTTTAAATCATTAGACCTACCTGAGAAGATTTTACTTGTTTGGTCAGATATATAAGGTGCTTAAATGAAAATTAAATCCACTAAATTTAAAACTATGATTCCAAATGTGTAAGTTGGGAATGGAACTGATCATTAAAAATGGTATATTTAGGCTGATCACCCTGAGTTGATCAAAAGCATCTTAAAAGTGAAGTTTAACTAAAATATACTTAATTCAGGACTTCCAGTCAAGATGGTGGCGTAGGTAAACGCAGTACAGTCAGCCTTCGTTTATCGCGGTTAATCCGTTCCAGACTCTACCGTGATTAATGAATTTCCGCGAAGTAGGATTCTTTCTTTATACCCAGTTGTCCCTCGCCACTTCGCGCTTGGACTTTTGTGGCTTCACACGATCACTGTTTTTTCAAATACTATACTATACTATACTTGAAAAAAAGCGATCAAGTGAAGCCATGAAAGTCGAAGCGCAAAGTGGCAAGAGACAACTGTATCGCCTCCTCCCAAAACCACATCAAAATCACAACTAAACTACAGAATAACCATCATTCAGAAATGCCTGAGACAGAGCTTACTGGAAGTCCTACAACCACGAAATTAAAGCCACATTGAAACTGGTAGAAGGGGCGGAGGCGTGGATAGGCTGGTCTCATACCCATGTGTGGCAGATAAAAAAATCAGGAGGATACTGTGCTGGCATGTTCATAACCCCATAATTGATGATTGGTAAATTATTGTGCTGACTTTTTATAGCTCCATAATTGATGATTGGGAAAGTCACTGTGTGCCCTCTAGCAGAACCTGTTTTGTAAAGACCCCCTGAACCAAAAAATTGTTGGGAGCCAGCTATGTGTCTGACAGAGTCCACAGAGCCTGGAGGTCTTTAGTCAGAGACTCAATCTCCCCCACGATCTCAAGGAATCGGGGCTCAAGGAATCGGGGCTTGCACTGTGTTTGTGCAGCTCGGGGCTAAGTGTGACCCAATGTACCTTGAAATGCCTGGGTGTTCCTGGGTGTGCCTGGGTGTACCTGTTATCTGTAAGACAAACTAATTCTATAGAGCACTGTGGTAGCTCTGGGCTAATGCTATCAAGAAGATCCTATTTCCTTATATCATTAAAACTTTTGCTGTAAGGTATAAAAGGCATGTAATAAAGCATATCGGGCTGATTCCAAAGACTCTGTCACAGGAGTGTTCGGAATCAGACGCCAGCCAGCTAATAAACGGCTTTTATTTGGACTTCAATTCTCTAGTGGTCTTTCTTTGACTCTGTCGCACCACAACAATACCTCGGCTGGGAAGGTCCTCCCTGAGGAGTAAGGGAATCCCTGTCCCACACCAGGCACCCAGCTCAGGGTTCCAATGCCAGGAAGAGAAGCCCCACGATTTCTGGTTGTAAAAACCAATGGGAACTGAGGCTGAGGGAGGCTGAGACTGCTGGAGCCCCAGGCAGTTCCTCTTAAAGGGCCAGTGCACGGGCTTACTCAGACTCAACACCCTCCAGGCTCCAGCGTGGGAGAGGCAGCTTGAAAGGCACCAGAGACATACAGGGAATAAATGGGTTGTTTGGTATTGGGCAAGAGCTGGAGGGGCAGCTTTCTCCTGGGTAGACTTGCAGTCAGAGGCCTTGATCCTTTGGTGAGCCCTTCCCTGGGGCAGCAGACTGCTGCCATATCTGGGACTCCAGCAACCTGGCTCACATTGTTTGCCCCGCCCTGGTGATTCCCTGAGGTCCTGCCCCACCCAACCTTGGGGCCAACCCAAGCTGTTTCCAATGCCTTTACCATAGGGTTGGCCTGTCTTGGATCTGCTTCAGATTTTCCCAAAATCTCTCAAACAAGCAGCATGTGGCCTCGGCGAGCCCCATACCTCTCATTACGTGGCCCAGGCCTGGCACTTGAAGCAGCCAGCCTTGGTTCATAAGTTGGCTTTTTCTGGGTACCTCCAAGCCCAGCACAAGAAGCAGCCATCGGCAGACCATTTTGTAGCTTATGCTGAGTGGCCCCAGGTGGAACACAGGCAGTGGCTGACCTTGCCCCAGAGCCAGCACACCCAATGGACAGCTTCAGACCATGGTGAAAGCACAACCATCTGCACAAGTGACACACTCAATGAGTGGACTCAGTGGGTATGAGAGCCCTGCTGAAGTAAGTCTTGCCCTGTGTGATGGTCCCCTGCACAGCTGATCCTCCAAGGTAGTCAGAGGCCAGTGGGCAAAGCCAGTCCTTGCAGCTGATCAGCCTGAGTAAATCCCTCCCACTGACATGCCAACAGCAATTAAGACTCCATTACAACAGAAGGGTATACAGTGCGCACTAGGAGTGCACCTTGAGGGACCAGCTGGGTGATCAGGGAGGCTGTGCCACTGGATCCTACAGGACACCTACAATAATAGGCCACCCTACAAGGCCTAGGAGACATAGCAACTCTACATAATACATAGAAAGAAACACAGGGAAGCAGCCAAATGAGGAGACAAAGAAACATGTCCTAAATGAAAGAAAAGAACAAAACTCCAGGAAAAGAACGAAACAAAATGGAGATAAGCAATCAATCCGATGCAGAGTTCAAAACACTAGTTATAAGGATGCTTGAGGAACTCAGTAAGACCTTCAAGGAACTTAGTGAGAAAATCAACAACATAAAAAAGGACCAGTCAGAAATGAAGGAGACACTAACTGAAATAAAGAATAATTTACAGAGAATCAATAATAGAGTAAGTGAAGCCAAGAAGCAAACCAATGATTTGTAATATAAGGAAGCAAGAAACACCCAATAAGAACAGCAAAAAGAAAAAAGAATCCAAAAAAATGAGGATAGTATAAGGAGCCTGTGGGACAATTTTAAGCATACCAACATCTGTGTCATGGGAATGCCAGAAGGAGAAGAGAGAGGGCAAGAAATGGAAAATTTATATGAAAAAATGACAGAAAACTTCCCTAAGTTGTTGAAGGAAACAGACATACAAGTCAAACTTGGTGAAGGAAACAGACATACAAGTCCAGAAAGCACAGAGAGTCCCAAACAAGATGAACCCAAAGAGGTCCACACCAAGACACATCATCATCAAAATGCCAAAGGT